AGCTCCAGTATTCAGTTAAAACAACAAAAACAAGATATGACCAGAAACTTCATGACATCCAACCTTAAAAAACGGTGAGCAAATCAATTTTACCAGCAGAATACATTTAATTTAGTATATATTGGAAAGATGCATCTTCAAGAGAAACTGCACAAGTTCTTCGAGGACCAGCATTCATGCACAATTTAACACAAACCTTCTATCCACACCAACCAAACAAAAATAATAAATCCAGCAGACACGTGAACATAATTTCTCATAATCCAAAGCACAGCCAACAAACACCTAGAATCAAGAACATTTACCTGTGTGGTGTTTACATAAAGCTTGGGCCCCATTAAACTAAACTGCAAAGATGCAGAACTCTGTTGTTTCCGCTGTGGACCAAGAGGAAGTTCGCTAAATACAGGTGCCCATTGCCTTGGCAGCTGGAATTCCAAGAACTGGTGGAGCTCCTCAATTGGTGGTTTATCTAAAATAATGATAATGAATGTGAAGTCATGAGGCCTTTTAATTTTTTTATACTAGGTTGATATTAAATACTAACACTGAAGGAAAATAATTTATTTTTATTTTTAAAAAAGGATGTCATAGAAATGATTTCAATCAATCAAAAATTTATATAATAACATAGCCATGAACGTTCCAGGCTAGAAAGTTTAAACTCTACAGATAAAGATCACAAGCACATCAGTTCAAGCAACAGGAACAATTCACGGGCAAAAGGAAGAGCTGAGTATAATGCCAGAAAAACCTAGCTGCAATTGTCAACTTCTTGATGACAAGAGTACTTTTTAGCATTTCACAATTACAGGCAGGGGATAAGCTATATGATCTCTTCAAGTTCTCCCTCCAGCAATAGTGTAGGCAACAATGGTAGAAGATTGGATGTCCAGGGCATCATACACAAGTTTCTCAATAGCATGCAATAATTGTTCAAATAACATGGACAAAGTTGACTCTGAAAATGCAAGAAACAATGTTGCTCACATCGTAGATAAAGATTTATGGCATGGCTCAAGAATCCACTCCCAGGCACTCCGTTAAGAAGAGACGTGATAGGTATGAAAGACATTGAGATTACATCAGGTTCCGACTGAACAGTCTGTAACCACTTATTATGGGATGAGTTTCTGTCATTTTCTCCACCCCTCCTCTCGTAGATGCTTAAAATATCCTGCAACAACGTGCTAACTTAGGCATAACAAAAGGAAAGAATTTCAAGGCTAATTCTCTAAGGCTTACCTCCTTATGAGAATATGAACTTGATGGACTAATATTAGCAAACCTCAGCTCCTTGATCCCAAACTGGAGGGAAGCAAAAAGTCCATTAAAAATCAACATGAGTTAGCATAACAAAAAGCGTAGTTCCATTAAAAAGTCCATTCATAATGATCCCATAATAGGTGGAAGCCTCTAACAGATTTGAACTCCTAGAACTCTAAAGGCCACAGATAGAAATGGGAAAGCAGAGCACATTGCAACGTTACTGCTTTTATTTTCTTTCCATTAAAAATACGTCGTGAAAAATGATATTTTATTTGTTTCAAAGGAAATAAAGCAGGGCATATAGGACTGAGTTATCTGTGATAGAATATTGAATTCACTGCTATGCAGCTTTCTTCTTCCAACACTTTCTGAAGAGTTTAGATATCATGTTCATGCCTAATTTTGAATGTAATAGAAGCAACAAAAAGAAACAAAATTGAGGGGGGAAAAGATAAAGAAAAAAGGTGCACAGAGTGATTTCAATATTCTGATTAAAAATGAATCATATTGAGGACAGGCAAACAGATGCCTTCTATAAACCTTGTCATTCGGGTAAACTTGATCGGAAGCAGTGTTGTATTGTCCATTGGCATCTAAAAATCTCCTATCAGCTATCTCCTTCAATTTTTTCTGAACATCACCAGGTTGAAGAGTTGATGAATGCTGCTGCTTTAAATAAATTACATCCTTTCCGCCCATCTTCAAACCAACAATAATATGCGTTCCAAAGGTCTCAATAAACCTGAAATTACAATAAATAGCAATATTTACTATAGTCTCAACTCTGCGATAAAGTTATAGTTTGAAAAATATGACCAGCATCAGTCCAACCAAGCCTGTTGACACAATTTTAGGAAAGAAAAAAAATTTGTATTTGCCATCCAGCTGGTGCCAACAGGATGAATTATTTCAGAAACAATAAAGTAGAAACGTAGGGGTCTACATATCCATACGAATTATTATGATCTTATAGCGACCATCAATCAAGTTTTCTATTTGAAATCTAAATGAAAGTCAAGCAAGGCAACCAAAGATAATGAATGGATCAATGTAAACCAGGATTTTAAATCATGACAATTTGGCAGCATGTTTGATAGTTATTACTGAGAGGTACCACTTATAATATTTTATATTCCAAGATGTTAGGCAAGAAAATTTTGGCAGAACATAAAAAAGGAAAAAAAAAAAAATTCACTCAATGAAGTTGGGTTTCATCAAAGCAAGAATGCGGTCAGTCAGATGCAACCACAAGTGAAACAAATCAGGGCCAATAGGGGAAATTATGTTTTTAAGCTCACATATTAGAGTTATGATAGGCATTTTATACCACTAAGATAACAATAAATAATCTATCGGAGAAATACTACACACAAATCATAGACATGTAAGTCCCGAAGCGTGAGATTTTTTTCCCCCCTTTTTGGGAAAGAGACATAAGTTTTAATATAGGAATGGTAGCAAACTCTCATAACTGTAGGTCGAGGATTTAAAACATGATAAAATAAAGAGGCAAACACTACAGAAAGAAATTGCAAACCATTTAACCCACATGAAGTTATCATTACCATCTTTTCAATAACAAACCTTTACATATTAAGGACCAAAGTACCACAGAAGTTCAAATGGCTAATAATCTACAACATCTCAAGAAATCCATGATTCCACCATCTGGTTTAGGACCAGTAATACTAGTTCATTTGACACAAAATTTGATTATTGCTTCACCATTTGGTAAGAACATTTACAAAGACCAGCATTTACCTTGCTAATGCAGGCGGGTCCCATGATGATGGTACAGCATTTTTGACATTATCACGGAGTACCATCTGAGATTTCTCTAATGCAACAGTGTAAAGAGTAATAAACACCCCATCAAAAGCAAGGGTCTTGGTATAGGCTGCATCTTTCTGCCAACTTCCAGAGAACTCAAACATGGCATTGAAGTGGCCTGAGGGAATTTTACCCGTCAAAGATAATTCCTGATTGAACTGCTCGGACATCTGAAAACATTTAAAAGAAACAGAGAGCCGGTGAGGAGGGGAAAACATGTGTAAACCTATAGAATGTGGAACAAGTTGTACCCTATTACCGTATCTTGTGCAACACAACTCTGTTTTAAGTCTGTCCATGTGGAGTGTGTTTAAAGTAATGCATCATATCAATGGCTAGCTTGGAATATAGCCTCTTAGTTATGGAAGGCTAAATTTATGGATTTCTGGTTATTTTAAGAACTCAAACTATTTTTGAATTGTAGCTCATTAAGTTATCATATTTAAGAACAGTGTATTGCCAGGAAATCGAAACAGATGTCTGTAGTATTGCATGAGACTCCACACAGTTTCTAATCAATTACCAAAAACACATTTCATTTTTCGTGGCCCATACATAGATCCTCCTTTAAAAGTAAAATAATAACAACAAATGCACACATAGAGATATGCAATTAAAATTACCTGTTGAAAAGAAAGAACATCAGACCTGAACCTAGTTCGTTCCCCTTTATCACATTTTATCGATTTTGAAACATTTGGAATAGATATCCCATCAGGTAGAACCACCTCTCTTCCATCGCCTTCATCTATCTCAATTAATCGAGAATTTATGGGTTCTCCTTTGCAGTACTTAAGTCTCAGATCATTGCAGATGTCATATCCACGCCCAATGGATCCAATTGCAGTCTCAGCGGCTTTTCGCGCTGAAGCCTTGAGCTCCATAACTCAGCACATTACTCCCCAAGCTAACCAAAACAAAGTCAGAAACCCAGCAAACTCCTGCATTAGCATAATTAACACAAAATTAATACCAAGTCACCTCCTACGTCAAGCAAATAATGCATATACTTGAAACTAGGATAATACATGGGTATGCAACCTTAACAATAGACAGAACAATAGTTCAAACTGCTACAGCGATCTATATCTGCCTACTCACTTATGAAAATAACGAAAAATCTTCAGCTCAAGGCAATGAAGAACGGGAAAAGATTTCATCCTTTATGATTAAATTAAAAACCGGAAAAAAAAAAATCACACACATTCCACCGATTAAGTGCCCCACTAAACTCTGCTCACTGCCCCACGAAATGAATAAGCTTGGATACATTCATACATATCCAGCCCCACCCCAAGTCCGCAACGCACACAAGGGCCAGCATGCACATCAATAAAAACACATTCTTACTCACACCTTCATAAAAGTAGAAAAATCTAAAGAAAAATCAGTACTTAATAATTAAGAGGCATGAAAGCTCATCACTGTTCGCAGCAACTCCTCCGCCACTTTAAGAATAGAAGCGAAACCCCTCCCAAATGAGGCAGACAGCCAATTGCGGAACTCAAGAATTGGCAATCAAGGCCAGCAATGCGCGATTAGTAGCAACGGTTCCGAAACCCTAACAAGGCAGACGATTATTGGAACTTCCGCGAAGAAAAGTTGAAGTCTTCGAGGAAAAAGGCCAGGACCACAGATAGAGAAAGGGAGGAAGCAAGAGGAAAAGGGAACCCTATAATGAAGAGAGAGAAAGAAAGGGACGTGAGTTAAAAAGAAGCACGAGGAGGGAGTGAGGATGAAGTAAATTCGGTTTGGGTTTGACCAAAATGTAGATTTCGTGGACACGTGTGGACTGACACTTTTAGCTGAACCAATCACAGATGGTTTTGTAAGTCGTAGTCAACCTTTTTCAATCAGTATGTCTCATTGTTCGTTAATACGGCTGCCTACTAGATTAGATTAGATTGGTCTTCAATGATAACCACGACAATTCCTTGTCAAGAGCCAAAATACTAGTCGAAATAATTAATGGACAGTTTTGCATGCAGATTTTATTAAAATTACTGAATAATCAATAATAATAAATCTTATTTCATTAGGTGGGGTTGACTACATAAATCATAGGACTATAAACAATCAAATCTTTAGATATGTTGTTAATCAGAAAGTCTCGTTCAACTATCCTCAGTTTTTTTTCTTTTTATAGGATTTCAAACTGTTTCATCTGTAAAATTACCGAATAATCAAATAAATAAATAAATTTATAACAGTATTTATTACTAGACGTTAGATAATATTTCACTCAATATGTCTTTATTAACGAGTACTACTACTTCTGAAGCTGACACATACTTTCATTCCAAAAATAGAAAAAAAAGCTTATACGAACTTTAGTCCCGAATTTACTTAATATTTTAAGATAATTTATTTAACGTATTCAGAGTATAAGAATAATTTATTTGACATTGTGAGACTATAAAGATTAAATCGAGACCAATTAAAATATGAGCACCAAGGATCAAATTGAATGAAACATACTAAAAAAAATTGAATGAAATGGGCCCACTTATTACCGGAACATAAAAATTTGAATAAAATGGTGTCCCTAATAAATAATTTTTTTTGGCCAACCCCTAATATTTATATTTTAAGGCCAGCAAATGAGATTTCTTACACTAATATTCAATTTTATCCTAGTTTAGAACCGATATTTATTGGTACTCGCAATGCCGTATGACTCCCTCAGATTCACACTTCGCAGGATCTAAGGCCCCGTTTGGATCGCTGAAAGCATTTTTTTTAAAAAAATTGAAAAATAGGAAAAAAAAAGGAAAATACTATTTTCAACCCTAATTAGAAGATCCCGTTTATAGATTACAAACGACACCTTATAGTAGGACCGGAGGTAGTAATAATCTTTTCCGCTTTGTTCCTTTTTCCCCTGTTGAATTCATGTGAACCAAACTGGGCCTCATGCATTCTAGAATTTGTAAAAGTGATTTATATCTTTCTCTAATCTTATTTATAAATTAAGATAAAAAAATTTCGTCTTATATACACTTAAGCCGTATTATTAAATTCTTTTTATATAGATATCCACTTCTAATATTATGTAAGTTACTATTTTCTTGAAGAGTATATATATTAAATAAGAATAAATTTAGAAAATTCAAAAAGAAATAGAATCTAATATTTTTCTTGGTTTTAGTAAAATATGCTTAAAGGGTTTTAATAGGACTGAAGGAATATATGGTATGTTCCCAACTACTTGATTTATTTCAAAAATGATTCCAATTAAGTCATGTATTGATTCAATGTAACAACAGTGTAGCTGTTGAGACGTCAATATTGAGGAGGGACAACATTTCAAAAGACACCACACAGGCTGCTTAACAGAGCTCCCAAAAAAAAAAAAGGTGGGGAATAAATTATTTGCGGAAAATGGGCAAACCAAAAGATGCAAAACCATGTGATTATTATTCTTCCCATATGCTGATATGCTCCCTCACTCGTCTTATGAACTACCAGTGAGCTAGTGGCATTGTATCAGAACTTATATAAGATATTTTAATTGGGATTAATATCATTTTTAATTCATAAAAATTTAGTTTCATTTTAGTTTTGGCTTTTGAAGTTTAAAACCAACGATTTTTTGTCTCCAAAAATTGATTTCATTCTGATCTGTCTAAAGATATTTGATCCCTAAAATAAGGTTTCAATGATTTTCAAATTTTATGAACAAAAACTAAAACGAAATCAAATTTTAAGAATTAAAAATAGTATTAACCCATTCAATTATTAAAGAAAATTTAAAGAGATCGGTTCAGGGTTTGCGTGTGTATTTCATACTATGAAGGCAATATATGAAAAACTGCCTGCGCTGTTTATTTGTAAATTTTTTTTTATAGATTTTATATTTTAATTTGATTGTTTATTGATATTGATTTATATTTAATACTCGCAATAATTCTTTTATAAAAACATATGGTATGCATCCAATATTACTAACTAAATTTGGGTATTAATGTATTAGTATGCTTAATTATGAGTACTTTTCATGCCGTAGTTTTTTCATTCGCGGAATTTGAATACTCAACATTATTAAGGGAAATTGTGTTCTTTTCTCTTAATATTATTTTTATTGCAATAATTATATATAAAAATATACATTATAAAGAATACTAACATTCTATAACTAGACATATTTCATATGTGTTACATGTAATATGATAATTTGCCGATAGTATAATTCGTTATTAATTCTAAATTTCAATATTTTTTATATTGATAAATTGGTTATATTTGATCATTGATTGAATGGATTTTCGAAATACCAATGAACTGAATCTCAAATTTTAAAGTATAAGACTATTTCATTTAATAAATAAATTTTAAGTAAACTCGAATTTTTAACCAAATAAATAGAAGTAATTTAAGAACAATTCTATCTATTCAAGCCGCTAGATAATTCAGTCCCCACAAAAAAAAAAAAGATCATCGCCATAGCGTACAGATATTAAAACAGTAAAAGATATTAATATATTAATAAAATGTAATATAATATAGAAATATCAAACCGCTACATAATTCAGTCTCCACAAAAAAAAAAAAAAAAAACCAGATCATCGCCATAGCATACAGATAGTTGATGATATTGACATTGCAAAAATTCATGAGACACGTCATATGTGGATGAGCAGAAAGACTGGACAAAAGGGCCAGCTCTCTTCAGTCGTCAATAATTGACTTTGACCATTCATGCCCAATTGCCCATCACACACGCCCACAAGAACCTCTTGGAACTTGTTCCTTGGAAAAAATTAGTTAAATTACGTAGATTAAAAAATTAGTTAAATATAATAAATGGATAATAAATACATGGTTTTTTCAAATACACGCTTAGAGATGACCAATTTATAGAGATGGTGAGTGACAAAAGAATGAATGTAAAAACTGTTACGATTAATGTATAGACATATGATCAACAAGGAGTGGAAATTATGGCAAAAAATTAGGGATAAAAAAGTTTTAAAAAAAAATTAAGATTTTAGATATTTCCAAGACATGACTTAAGAAAAGTCGCCCAAAAAAAAAAAGAATCAAACGTATTCAAAATATAAAAAAAAATAGAGCAGTGAGAAATAAAATTTAAAAAGTGCATTGAAAATACATATTTCTTGCAAAAAGTCATAAAAAGTAGGATAATCTCGAGCATTATAAAAACTGCATTATTGATAAGCCATATACCCACTGTTATCAAACTCGTGAGTTTACTCTTTGAGTTTAACGTTTTTATGTTTCAAGCTAACAAAATCGTGTCGACTCGTTCTTAAACTCGTAATACTTGTAACCTGGGTTAAACTTACGAGTTTATTTACCGAGTTTACCGTTTTTACGTTTCTAACTTATAAAATCGTGTCAACTCGCTCTTGAACTTGTCTAAATTTTTAAATTTGATTATGTTTAGTGACTTTATATATAATTTTTATAGAAATTTCTTTGTTAAATATGATAAATTATGAACATTGATAGATATAATTTCAATTATTTAAATTTAAAATATATTTAAATGAAATTGTTCTCATTTTTTATATATTAATTATTTGATTATATACTTTTAATATCAGTTTATTAATAAAAGTAAACTCTTACAAGTTTGCGATTCGAGTTTACAATCCGAATTTACATCATTATTATGAGTTTGTTTAAACTCGCGAGTTTGACAACCTTACATATACCACATAACTTGTTGTAGATTCATGCAAAGAGCATATGATAATCTAGTTTAATTTAATTTCCTAAATATAAATTCTCTCTCTTAATTTGTCCCCATCTCTCTCCCTCACTTCCAAGTAAGTTCCCTCTGCTTCAGTTTCAGTCCTCACTGCAGATTACCAAATCCAACCACACAGTTAATATTATTCCCCTTGTCCACTATCGCTTTCACCTTCAAATCTACCTCTTTCACCTCTCAACCACACATCCTTATCATCATCTTCTTCTTCTTACTCTCTCGCACATTTAGTCAAACACCTCCCCCACATTCCTTACCCCCTTATACACGCATTTATACACATACAGCTTTCTTCTGCCCCTTTCACATGCTCTGCCTCTATCTCTCTCTTTCTCTCTATCAATCACTCTATCATATCTGTTCCCATTGAATATATGTGATTTCAAAGATGAGTGGCTATTCTAAGATCAATCCTAGTGGCAACACTCACAAGTTAAGATCTACAGATTTTCCTGATTTCTTCTCCTTCCCTGAGAGCCCAAAATACATCAGGAACAACAGTAAAGTCACCAGAACAGAGGAGCCAAACCAGATCGAGAAGGACAAGGCTCAGAAATCCTCACCTGAGAGAGGAGAAGAACATGACGATGGGGAAGCTGTTGGGGAGCATCGAGACGGAGAGATATTCGGCGTGGTTCTGGGTCGGAGTGCGTCGGTTTCTTCATCAGCGACGGGGATTCAGGGCACGATGAAGAAAGCGTTCTCAATGAGAAGATCTTCGTCGGTGTCGGAGAGGTATTGCAGGATTCATGACCAGTACGTGGCATTAGCTCCACCGATTGGAGAGGATGGTGAAGGAGAATCAAACGGAGGAAGAAGATCAGTGATGAGGAAGAAGAAGAAGAAGCTGAGCGGAGGAGGAGGGAAGATCCTGAGAGCCTGTAAGCGCCTTCTTGGATTTTAATTATGGAACTTTGTTGAGAAATTTTTGGGGATTTCGAAGAGCAACTTTACAGAATAAAATCTGGAAAGCGTTCTGTGAAGGAAAGCGATTTAGATTTATGAATCCTCTTTTACTCAGCGAATGAAATCTGACAAATGATGAGAGATGAGCATTGCGTTTTATCAAATCAAAATCTTCTTTTGTAATGATTCCGCACAACAGCATATGTTCGTTTCTTTAATGTTTAGCCTAAAATAAGGAGATTAATAAGAAGATCCCTGTGCCAATTCAAGTGATGAGTGGAGAATGATTGTCTTTCCCTGGTGATTGAGTGGCATGAAAATTCTATGGAAAGTAAAATGGTATTTGCTTGATTTCATTTATAACATCATGTTATTAATGCCTGTACTTTAATTTAGAAGAAAAGATAGAAATAAAATTTTCTTGAATGATAAAATATCAAGACAAAATAGGAAAAACTGGGGATGAATTCCCTGTTAAAAATTTAATTGGCAAATTAGATTTAAAGATTTTGTGCAATTTAATTTTTTTTATGTGCAACTTATCTTTTCTGGTATGCAATGTATCTTCCTTTGTGTGTAATGATCTTCCTCTACACGATGTGCAACTCAATTACCCTTTGTGCAAATGAAAATTTCTTATGTGCAAGTCATCTTTTCTATGTGCAAACCAATTCTTTATATTCAAATAATGTTGTGCAAACCATCTTCCTTTTGTACAACTTATCATCCTTTATGTGCCGCTAATTTTCTCTTGTGCAATCAATCATCTTAGATCTCATTTACCAATTAAATTTTTAATAAGGGATTTATTCTTAATTTTCCCGATAAAATATTATGTCAAGGTACCAAAAGTTAGACCGACCATTAAATTGACTAAAAGCAAATGGTTTAATTCTTGATCAGATTGATTCACGATTTGAGTTTATTTTTATTTTTATTTTTTTGTCATATACAAAGTAACTCTTATAATGTACATAACAACATATGTATATTAATGCTCAGGGAAGCAATAAAAAGTTCAAATTGTCTATTAATAAATTGGTCATATCTCCGTAAACTGCGTGTGAAGTCGGCATACTTTGACTGTATTTATAGGAGACTGTACCAGATGATTAAAAGAGAGGAGCGACACCCAGTTTTCACTATTAAATTTTACTTCTATAAAAATACCGTTTATAGTTTGCTGTTAGTCAATATGTGTTTGGATGGAAATTAAATTATTATTTTAAAAGTGATTTTACAGTATACAAAATATATAAGAAAAGTTTTATCTCAACTTAAATAAAAATACTTTTAAAAAACACTTTCGAAAAAACCAAACACCAATCTTGAAATATATTGGAACACGAAACCATATTTTCCTGTTAAACATTTGCACTTTTGCGTCTAATACTGTATTGATCTAAATTGTGATATATGAATATAAATTTTTGCAGGAAAGCATTGATATTGATTTAAAAATGTTTGAGAGATGGAAAAATAAAGATGAATGGAGGATATGAAAGAAAAATAAATAAACCAAGAATCACTTATAATAGACTGTACAATTTGAATGGATGATGAATTAAATCCAATCCTAATAATCTACCCTTGTTGAAAGCTTAATCCCAATTTTTGTCTATATTTGATTTTATGGACCATTTTCCTCTTTGTTCGCTATCCTAATTTCTTGCTTTATTAGACAGGTTTTATACAAAAAACAAAGACTTGACTAAGGGAGTGTTTGGATAGAAACCAAACCATGGTTTCAGAAGTGCTTTTACGGATTACGAAGTAAATATGTGGAGGAGGTTATCTCGTTTTGCGAAAAAGTGCTTCTGAAACCATAGTTTTGGAGCACCCAAAAAGACCCTTAAACAAAATCAAATAACCCGGCAATTAATGAACCAGTCAAAAAGAACTAGAAGAACCTAGTAGTCAAATCTCTGAAAAAGATAACTGTTTTGAACCCAGGGGAAATATAGAAAAGGAAAGACCCCATGAAAAAACCATAAATATATTGGTTGAAATAATAAATAATATTTGAAAGACAACGATGGCAATTGAAATATTCCGTTGTTTTCTCATGAGATCTTTCCTTGTCTATATTTCTCACGATCACGGATCCAAATATGATTGATTAAGCGATCAAATAGAAACTAATAAAAAGGTACTGATTGCAAAAAGAGATTGATGAAAACGTTTATGTAATTTATGAAATAGGTAAATTGATGAAAACGTTTATGTAGTTTATGAAATAGGTAAACAAAGGGAATAAGGAAAGAATCATTAATATCGTGTAATTAATGGGTCTAAAAAATTTTCATCCGCATAGATTGCTAGATTTAAATCGACCTGATTTTTACTGAATAGTTCGGTATTATAAGATTTTAAGAGTAAAGTTGGCTATACATGATTGATATTGATGATTTGTTTTTTTAAATTTTGATTAACAGAGCTTGTTTGCCATTGTATCATGTGATGCCAAACTGTCTTTTTTTGCGGTAAAAAGCTACCTTGGCCTAATGTGTATGTTTGTGATGGAAAGCCACCTTGCCCTAACATGTAATGTTTGTGATGGCTTATGAGGCAATGAATTTCTGGACCAAAAGTCAAGTTGAAGTAAATTTTTCTTGCTTTTTTTTTAATATTTGAATTTTTGAAACTTACATTTTAATATATCATCTAAACAAATTTCTATCAAACTAATTTTTCTAACAAAAGTCTATCTAAATATAAATAGTATTCTACAAATTAATTTTTAGGGTGGTGATATGGGCCAACCCACGGGTTGCGGTGCGGGTTGGCCCGTGGCGGGTTAGGGTTATGCGGTACAGGCTAAAAAGGTCCTGTGTAATAGCGGGTTGGCTTAATCCGCCATGGTGAGTTGATAGGTTGGCCCGCCAACCCGCCAACTATATTTTTTTTATCTTTTAAATATTTTTTTATACAATATAAAAATATAATAAAATTTTTATCTTTTCTTTAAATACTTGATTAAAAACACAAAATAAATAAATGATATAGGTATTTTTTAAAATTTTTTAGATAGAATATATAATATAATAATATACATATAATGATTAATAAAATTTAAGAAATACAAAAAAATAAATACGGTTTGGCAGGTTAACCCGCAGTGGGTTGTGGGTTAGGCGGTGCGGGTTAAAAAGCGTTGTTTACTGGTGGGTTTAGTTTTAGCTAACCCTAACCTGTTATTTTTGGTGGGTTGGCGGGTTAGACCTGCGGGTTCAACCCATATTACCAGCTCTAATTTTTACTCTATTTTCAATTTATAAAAATTAATTAAAATATTTTTTATATGCATCTAGTATCTTAAAGTATATAGTAGTTTATTTAGTAACCTAAAATACTTTAAATGGTTTAAACATGTGGTCAATATAGATGACAAGAAGAATTAAAGCAACTTTTCTTTTGAAAATTACTAAATTAATAAGTAAGTCTAAAACCTAAATGCAAAAGTTAGACATATGCGACAATCAATAGATATTTCTAGAAACGAAAATGAAGTCCTTCAATAAATACTAAAAAAATAGGAATTAAGGCATTTCTTTTCTGTTAATAAATATAAGCTCTCTATATGAAAAGTAAACAATACACGGTTTTTCATAGCCAAGAATTCCAGGACGTTAGTTGATATGTAAAATGAAGGCTGTTCATTTCTGATGTGAAATTACCATTCTTCCTCATGCCTAAAAGTCGATGAAGCCCTATCTCTTCCATCGCAACTGAAAAAAAAAAAGGAAAAATCTCAAAAAAAAAACTGCTAAAATAAAAATATTATTAATATGGACTCATGATAATATTAGGACGGATTTTTTTTATTTCTTAAGAGAATAAATTATATGTTTTATAAATAGTCCCATTTATTATAAATTTTATACTAATAATTTTTTAAAAAATATTTTTATATAAAAATACTCATCCGGTCCTTAATATAAGACCCATTTAACTAATTTGATTAAATTAAAGAAGTTAAGTAAGTTAGTTAATTATAAAAAATGTGACACATCTTTTCTAAAATACCATAATCATCTTTCTTTATACCTCATTTCCTTCTTTTACTTGATTATAGTTGAGGGACTATCTATAAGGGTAATTTAGAGAAAATTGATAAATATGAGAAATGGGTCTTATATTTAGGACCAAAACCAACTCAACAATTAGATCCTATATCAAGGACCGGAGGAGTAATTTATTTACATGTTTATTTTTTTGAAAATTTTTGAAATATTTAGTAATACCAAATTTTGATTAGTGTCGGGCCACAAAGACACAAGAAGGTAAAATAATACTCCTCCGGTCCTAATTATAAGACCCAATTGATTTATCTGAGGAGATTAAGGAAGTAAGTTAAGTTGGTTATTTATAATAAATAAGTGTTGTCATTCTTAAAATACCTTGCTAATTAAGTATATTGGCTAAAACTATCATTATTAGAAGGATTATCTTGGAAAAAAATGTATAAATATAAGAAACAAAATGGATTGGGTCTTATAATTAGGACCAAATAAAAAGTCAAATTGAGTCTTATAATAAGGACCGGAGGAGTAATAAGAAATCATATATTGGAGTATTCCTTTAGAGATAGCGGAAGACGGAGCAGGGGAGAGAGAGAGGGAGGAAGAGAGAGATTTTGGTGGGAAAAGTATAAAACTTGAATCGAAAAGGAAGAATGGCGATAAAACAGCGAACGCCCGACGGAGAAACCTGTGGCTGAAGCCTGGCTTCAAACCCTAAACCTATTTTCATCTCCGAAATTGGGGTATAATCAATCTATGTCCTCTTGCCGATTCTCCCTCTTCTTTTTCATACCGGAATCCTTATCCATTTTCTTCCCTATATACTTTGCTTTATATCATTCTCCCCTCCTGTTATATCGTTTTCCCTTCTTTCTCTCATACAAATTTCATCCTTTCAATGTTACCTTTCCATTTGTTCAGAATCTTGAATGTTCGTTTTTGGGCTGAGGTAGAATCTGTCCAGATTCGGATAATCGGAGTGGAAGGAAGACAATGAGGATCGAATTTCAATTTCAGATAATTTTTGCTCGTTGATTTCGGAACTGGAATTAATTAGCAAGATTTTCGTGGAATAGTCATCTTCAGACAAAAATTTACGTTTCGGCAAACTCAGTGTGACCATGCATGTCTGAAGTTTTTTCTTGGTGCAACCACGGCGTTTAGGAATTGGGTTCTCGGTTTTTGAAATCGTATTCAGGTGAAATGGTCGGAGAAAGTGGCGGTGTTGGTACTGGGATGACACAGGAGCATCGTCTCCGAAGAATAAAATCAAGTTCTTATGCAGCCATGGCGGTAAGATTCTTCCGAGACTCGGCGACGGTGTCCTGAAGTACGTCGGCGGCGAGACACGTGTCATTGGGGTGCCTCGTGACATCACTTTCTCAGGTATTCATCGTTGATCCTGTTCGTTTTCCTCGAAAATCTCCTCGTCACAAATCATAATCGCCGTTGTCCCCCAATTGACTCTGATTACGCAAGCGCTATGATCAATGCCTACTATTAATCAAAACATGCAAATATTAATTGGCATGAAAATTGTAGTGGATTATTTGATATCTCATACTCGGCGATATAAATTGACATAATGGAGTGAAGATTGTTCGAGTTTTATATTCTAATTTTCTTTTCTTAACGCTGTTATTGTAACTACTACCTCTCTTTCTTAATATCAGACTTCATTTAGCTTTTATTTTAATCTTAAATATAAAACCCTAATTCATGTTGTTTCTCACATTTATTCTTTTTTTTTTAAAGTAGTCCTTATAATAATAGTAGTTATATTTGATTAGTAAGGATATATGAGGAAATACAGTACATATTCATAACAAATAACTAACTTTACTTATTTTCTTAATCTAATTAAATTAATCAACTAGCTCTTATATTTAGGATTGGAAATACTATATTTTAACGTTAAACATCATTATTAAACAAATGGAGATTTGTACGTCTTATGCACCTTTGGAATTGATCTTTTAACCAGTTGATGTTGTTATTTTTGTTAGTGTTAACGATGAAACGGATTTATTAAAATTAGTATAACTTATAGCTTCAGCCATTAAAATTAAGTGCTCTTCATTGCTAAACAGTTATTATTTCACTTTTATCTTGAACATTTATAACTTAAACGGACAATTTTAATCTTGAAAGTCAGTTTAATTTTAATAGTCTTCTTACAAGATTATGAACGTCTCAACAATGAAATCATTTACCATATTGACTTCAAATTGTCATTTGTTAAAGATCTGAACTAAAAAACATCATTCTGTTGAGAGGAATACCACACCATTATTATACTAAAATCTGTTGACTGATTGGGCAGCATATAGTACTTGCAATGCAAATATCATCACTATTTCTGAGCTTGAAGAAATTAAACCTGAACTTACTAGGACGTAATTGCTTATGCATTGTGTCTCAACATTTCAGAGTTTATGAAGAAAGTCACTGCTCTGACTGACAGTGACATGGTCCTCAAGTACCAGCTTGTCCCTGAAGATCTAGATGCCTTGGTCACAGTGAGATCAGATGCAGATCTCCAACACATGTTTGATGAGCATGATCGCCATGGAAATGGAGCTCCAATGCTTCGAGCTTTCCTGTTTCCTACCAAACCAATTGTACTAGAGAACCAATCACTTGTTTCTGAACCACATGCATCGGAGCAGCGTTATATCGATGCCATCAATGGCATCATCCACATCAACCACAGAGGAAAACTTTGTCCTATCAGAGTTGTCTCATCAGCTTGTTCTTCCCCCAAAAAACCAGATTCCCCAGATGGTCATTCTATGGATGTAACCCCCGAATCGCCATTCTTTATCAGCAACCGGAAGTCATCGATGCAGAGAGTGCGAAGTTCTCCGAGCTTTAGCAGCCTCACCAACCTCCAAGGCAGCCTCAGCAGTCCGAAGTATGAACACAGTTGTTATCACCATCACTATCAGCAACATCCTCATGGCCATCCCTTTGTTAGATTGTCGTCAGATCCACATGCAGGGTTTGGGTTTGGAAGGCCCCAACCAATTTTGTCCTTGACAAGGCAAGACAGTGGTAGGGGTAATGGCTTTAACCAGTATTACTCACCGACCAGAAGCAATGTTAACAAAGGGATTCCAGGTTGCCCCAAGAATGGAGGAGGACACCTTGATGAACCTTTTTCACTTTCTGGACATCTTAGGTTTGAGAGATCCAATAGTGCTCCTCGCGCTCCAAGTCCTATATGGGAATAGTGAAGTCTTAAAAGTTTCTGCAGGAAACTGGACTGTATTTCTATTTTGTACAGCACTTTATGTAAAGCTTTTTATATGGTGTCGATATTCATTTGATTTTCCTTTCTTTATTTTTTTCCCCCTTTTTGGGTGAGGTTTCCAAAGGCAGAAGGTTGTACTTAAACTAATTCTTCTGTGTTACTCACATAAAACACTGCCATCGGCATGATTTTTTTTGCAGTATTGCAGTGTGTAAAGCGAAGGTTTTGTGATTTATTTCTTTTGTTATTTTTGTCCAAGTATGCATATTCAACATCTGTGGGTTTGAATTTCGAATTGTTTGCAGGTTCCTGGCGGAGGATTTTAAGTATATTGTGTTCGGTAAGGAAGTGTATACTGGATGGAAACAAGTAGTGAAACTGGATTACTGGACGGGTCTCATTCTTATACAGCTGTGACTGGGAGAGATATGGTGGTGTGGTCAGAGATTGAGGCAAATTGGGTGATGGTTTTCAATGCAAATTCAAGACTTTCTCAGGGATTTTAAAGAGAGAATTACAATGAGGTCCCATGTAAGGAAAAAAATTACAAAACAAGTCTCAGAGATTGTTATTTTCTACTCCAGAAGTTGTCATTACAGGCTGTTCAGGTTGTTATTAGACTTTTTAGTAATTATTCTCTTGTATAGGATTTAATTGTAATTCTCCCGATTTTAAACTGTGCACGTGTTTAGCCGTTAGCTGCTTCTCGTCTAGATGTAATAATGCCTCAGCACTCGTATAAGGATATTATTGATTATGCTAGATAAGAATTGAAATCTACGCTAAAGGAACTCATTTCGTCAGTACTTTTTTTCTATTAATTTTTTTCAATTTGATATTGATACGTTTTTTTTCCTTTTAATTAAATTTTCTAATTTCATTATATTAGTGCGGTTAACTCCGAACAGATCAAAGTTAAAAGAGCCACCAGTACCAGAGCAAAGCTGAATGATGTAGTCAAAGATAAAAAAGAAGACGTAGAAGTATCAAATCAAACAAACTACAACTCCTGAAAAATATTAATTTTATGAATATCGGGACTAACTTCTTGCCCACTTTACACGGAGGTGGCAGATGATGAAAATAAATCAATTTCAACTATATTCTGTTGTAATCTCGCACGCCAATCCTCTACTTATTGAAACATATAGTGTTCCGACTGAAACTCCCTTACAACATTTTCAAATTTACAAGTGCAAACAAACTTATGGTGGAGATGTAAACTCCTAAAAATTTACTTTTATTAATAAATAAATAAATAAAAACTTTACAAAATTCACATACAAAAATACTAATCATAATCAAATCTATATAATTAACGAGTTTAAAAACAATTTAACATGATTTTGTAGGTTAGGGGCAGAAGAACACAAGTTTAACAAGAAGTTAACACTATTTTATAAAACGACAACATAATGGGTTTGACAACAATGCTCCCTCGTACCAAAACAAGGCTAATTCCAGTTCAGCAATTAAATATTCAAATAGAGGAAGCAGAACCTCTCTCACGAAAGCAACTACTAAATAACAACGCGTCCTGGGCAAGATTTATTCAAATATAAATTATAAAACTACATCTTGAGCTGATATATTTCTCCCACGACAGCTGATACCCTTTCATATTTACTACATTTCAAGTATGGAAAAGTGCATCCAAAAAATGCCGTTCATCATATTTATGGTTTTAGATGATTTCTTCCCCTACTACACAGGCTTCAATAACCATCTATAAAATCCCCGTGTAACCGTAATTAGAACATCCATCCACTCTTCATTGACAAAAAATCACTACTAATAAATTTTTTTTTTAAAAAAAAAAAAACTAGCAGATCATTTAGCGTTGAAAAAAAGAGCATCAGAAAATCTCTCAAGACTCATCTAAGAGTCGGTAAAGTCTGCATCAATCACATCCCCCTCGGGTCCCTTGCCTTTGGGCTCTGTGGGGCCAGACTCACCACCGGGGGGTGAAGGACCTGCTCCTCCCGCAGCTCCTGGCTGGTTGTATAGGGATTGACCAAGCTGCATAACTTCTTGATTGAGGGCAGCCATGGCATCCTTGATGGCTTGGGTCGAACCGCCTGAGATTGCATCTTTAAGCTCCCCAAGTTTAGCTTCGACCTTCTCTTTCACAGGGCCAGGAACCTTGTCTCCCAGCTCCTTCAACTGCTTCTCAGTCTGGTAGACCACAGAATCTGCCTGGTTCTTTGTGTCAATGGCATCCCTCTTCTCTTTGTCCTCACCTGCAAACCTCTCTGCCTCCTTCACCATCCTATCTACCTGCAATTCATTTACAATATCATTGTGATGTGAGCATCATTTAAGCTCCATTTCAAACATTAAATTACAGCATGTTAAGAAGTCCATGATTGTCATTTTCAGTTACCTCATCATTAGGCAAGGTGCTAGCACCCGTAATGGTAATGTCTTGTTTCTTTCCTGTTCCCTTGTCCACAGCAGTGACTGAGAGAATGCCGTTGGCATCAATGTCGAATTTCACCTCAATCTGAGGAACACCACGAGGAGCTGGAGGGATACCATCCAACCGGAAGCTACCAAGAGATTTGTTGTCCCTCACAAATTCTCTCTCACCCTGTAAGACATTGATCTCCACACTTGTTTGCCCATCAGCAGCTGTTGAGAAGACCTCTGACTTTGAGGTAGGAAGAGTAGTGTTTCGTGGGATAATTTTCGTCATGACACCACCTAGAGTTTCCAGACCCAATGACAATGGACTAACATCCAATAGCACAATGTCACTTACATCTCCAGCCAAAACACCAGCCTAAAATAAATACAAAGGTTAACAACATATTAGTCAATAAATATAATGCACTGTCAACAGAGCACTCAATTCTGACTGGTTCTCAAGGGAGAGTAACATTAGCCAATAAGTGTGACACCCGATTCAATCGCAACTTTAAGCTGGCTTATTTCCAGGCATCCTGCTTAACTGGTCGCTGACGGTCAATGAAGAGATTATATTCTTATGGACTACAACACTTTAAAAAAAAAAAAAGGTGAAATGAATAATTACTGATTAGCAACCGAAGCAGCTAAAACCCACCTGAACTGCAGCTCCAAGAGCAACCACTTCATCAGGATTGACAGTGACATTTGGGTCCTTGCCAATCATCTTCTTCACAAGTTCTTGAACAGAAGGTATACGTGTTGAACCCCCCACCAATATCACCTCATCAATATCACTAATTGACAGTTTTGCATCCCTCAACGAATTTTCAACTGGTGTCCTGAGCCTGAAAGACAACTGACTCGAGAATTACACCTGATAGGTTCCTTTAGTCTTGAGGAAAGCCTCAATGAACGTGCAAAATTTTTCGGCCCAAAAACCAACTATATTTCTTTCCAAGTTACAAAAAAAAAAAAAATCCAATTCCACGGGGGTAAACAGAAAAATGAATTCCACTGTTCCTTACCTATCAAGAAGATCAGAACATAATTCCTCGAATTTAGCCCTCGTAAGGGTAGTCTCAATATGCTTAGGTCCATCAGCTGTGGCAGTTATGAATGGCAAACTGAAAAAACACGCACAATCACCATCATTTGGATAAAACTTCACATTAACACGGCCATACAATACTCAGGTAAAGAATCCATACCTGATATTTGTTTGAGTCAATGATGACAGCTCCATTTTTGCTTTCTCAGCTGTCTCAGTGAGACGCTGAAGAGCCTGTTTGTCCTTCAAAAGATCTATGCCTTCATCTCTCTTGAAGTTTGAAGCCAGCCAATCAACAACTCTCTGCAGTGAAGATATAGAGATAGTAAAACAGTCAGTTCAGACAATCAAAGAACAGTCACATCCTACTAATGATGGGAAAAACAAGAAAAGAATCTTACTTTGTCGAAGTCATCACCACCCAAATGTGTATCTCCAGAGGTAGAAAGCACCTCAAACACTCCATCTCCGACCTCAAGAACTAATATGAAGGCAAATACACATAAGTCTATATGAAAAATGGATAAAATAATATTTATAACTCATAAAAGTAATCTTTCAAGACCGGGAAAGGCAAGTGGACACGCTCAAGGTACCTGAAACATCAAAAGTACCACCTCCAAGGTCAAATACCAAGATTGTTTCATTGTTCTTCTTTTCAAAACCATATGCCAAAGAAGCTGCAGTCGGCTCATTGATGATACGAAGAACTTCTAATCCAGCAATACGACCAGCATCCTTAGTTGCAGTCCTTTGGGAATCATTGAAGTACGCAGGCACTGTTACTACAGCTTTAGTCACTTTATCATTCAAAAACTTAGAAGCATCATCCACAAGCTTTCTCAAAACCTATATTAGAAGCAAAGAAATTATTATAACCCAGTTTATTCACAACAATCAAACTACCGAGTACGAACCACCGGGGGATAAAATTAACAGACCAGGCCGTTTAATCCCCACATGAAAGCTCGACAGGTCAGTATAACTAATCAAAAGTTTATAAAATTCAACCATTTGTGAAAATGAACCATCATGAAGCTTTACCATACAATAAGGTTTATACCTGAGCAGAGATTTCTTCGGCCGCGAACTGCTTGCCAATGGCGGGGCACTCAAGTTTCACATTTCCGTTGTCATCCCTCATCACTCTGTATGAGACTTGCTTTGACTCTTCGTCCACTTCGGACATCTTCCTACCGATGAACCTCTTCACCGAGAAGAAAGTGTTCTCAGGGTTTACCACAGCCTGGCGTTTCGCAATTTGACCCACAAGCCTGTCTCCATTCTTGGTGTATGCCACCACAGACGGCGTAGTTCTTTGACCCTCGGCGTTGGTTATAATTGTGGGCTTTCCACCCTCCATGGCAGCCACCGCTGAGTTAGTCGTCCCCAAATCAATACCCACCACTTTCTCATTCACAACTCTCACTGGCCCCACACTATATCTTCTCCTGGTATTGCTCTTTAGCTTCAAAAATGCAGAACGAGGGAACTCTAAATGAGATGAACTACCTACCCTCTGCCCCAAAAATACAGTTCTGGAATGAGAAGAATTTGGCTTCTTCAGTGAACCGGCAAATGATGGAGTACCAAGACCGTGCACTTGGGCACTAGAACAAGCCATAGTGATTGAATTCAAGTAGTATTTGAGCGAATTACAGAAACTTAATAGTTCACTACGCAAGAGATTGGTATATAAATTGGGACCAACGGTGAAGAGTTGCAGAGAGAAAGAGAGGGGATAAGGGAGGACGGCAAAACCCTAACCCGAGAAGAAGGAAGAAGCGAAGGGATAGGGGAAGAAGATAGGATTTGGAAGGCTATTTTATGTGGTGACTGGCGGAATATTCTAGAATGATGTCCGAGTTACCGTCAGATTATTGGAGGCCCGAATATGTCTTGATTTATAGCCGTCGGATTGCAATATGTGGGCGGCGAAAAAACCAATACGGTTGAAAGAATGCGATGGGGCTGTTGAGCTTATTTTATGAAAGAATTACAATAAAACCCTCAAAAAAATTTTAATTATCTTAAAATCTATTATGAAAATAAATAATTACAAGTTTTAGAGTAGAAAATAACAACGGTTTCATATTAGTCACTTGTCCTTATAAATTTTGGGTAATTAAATTTTTTCTATAAAACCTCTTGATAATGTCCCTTATTTCTAATTAATTAATTAATGAGATAACATATCAAGAAGATTTATCAATTATCAATTATTAATCAATGATAAATTAAAAAAATAAAGGTTTTATTATATCAAATAATGTAAATAATTTGTTTTCTATTTTTTTCATTTAATTTTTCTTTGTTTGTTATATCACCACTTAATTTAATCATACTTTTTTTAAAAAACTATTCTGGGGATCTTATTCTGTTTTAAATGTTCGTTTTCTAATTTGATTTTTCTCTCTTAAAATATAAATAATAACCTTATTATTACACTACCTCCGATCTAATTATAAGAACCAGTTGACGAATTTGAGGAGATTAAAGAAGTAAGTTGAGTTAGTTATTTGTCCTAAATAGATTGTCTTTCTAAAATATCCTTACTAATCAAGTGTATTGACTAGAACTATCATTGTTAGAAGGGCTATTTTGAAAAAAAAATATAAATATAAGAGACAAAGTGGATTGGAATTTATATTTAGAATCAGAATAAAAATCAAATAAGGTCTTATATTAAGGATCGGAGGTAGTACTTTTCATTTAGGTTATTGGAGGCCAAAATCTGTTTGGCATTATGGCTGTTTGATTGCAACAAGTGGCTCGCGGCTGTAAAAAAAAAAAATGTAACTCAATGAATGGGGTGTGACCATATGGAAGAAATCATGTATAGTAATATCCTTCTTTTTGAGTTTATAAGAAAGATACGTATAGCTCAATGAACTTAATCAATTTTCACTTCACATAAATGGTTGGGTTTTGTTGATAAAAAACGAAAACTATATCCTCATTTTCCACTACTTATGATTTAGGATATTAATATTTAATATTTCAGCTTTAATATATACTTGCAAAATGCAATAATGTTTTAAGAATTGAGTACGAAATGATTTTTAAAATTATAGTTACTCATAATTTGATCTTGTGATTAAAAATTATTATTATTATTATGCAAACATGCCTAATAATATTAACACATGGTGGTTCGGAGGGATGACCCGTGGGATGTTATAAAATGATCTTCGATTTACCATTAATTTATTGGAGGTCATAATTTGTGTTGATTTATGGCTTTCGGATTGCAACATATGGGTGGCAGATGATGAAAACTAATGCAGCTAGACAGATGCCACGGAGAAAATTCTATTTTTCAGGTTTTAATTTGTGTTCTTGTCTTTTACGTAATAAGACCATTGGTCATTAGACCATCCTTATTTAATTAATTTTAATTAAAAAAACACAAAAGAGAGATTTGAGAATAGTTCATAAATGCAGAAAGAGAATCTGAATAAAGATTAATTTAAAAAAATCTTATTTATTTAATGTATTTTTTAGTATGTAAGAATGAGTTGCAAGTAATCTATAATAAGAATGGGAAAGTAGTATAGTCAAATCTTTTTATTTCAGTTTAAGAAAAATATGTATAATTTAAAATGTAAGATATTTTGTGGATCATATGGCGTTGTTAATGTTGTTTCATTTAAATTATTACTTCTACTAATTAATACTTGAGATTAAATATTAAGGAAGTTGATTGTAATTAACAAATGATACATTTATAAACTTAGCATCAAAATATTAAATGATAAAAACAAAAATCAAATTTCAAGACTCAAAAGTGTATATTTGGCTAGGTTTCATTTCATAACTAGACTGTGCGATGCACAGGATGGTACATATTAAAATAACTGATATTGCTGAAAAACATTTTACTATATTCTTCCCCCCTTCAATCTATTGCAAAGAAAATTTATCTTTTGTTATTTACTCCCTCCAATTCAAAATATAATATAAACTTTATCCTTATATTTACCAAGAAATTAGTTAAAATCAGTTTAAAATAATAAATATGTAAGACATTCCCCCTCCAAATATGTCATTACTAATAAAGAGAATAAGTAAAAGATGCAATAAATGATCAAAGAAGAAAAGAATATGTAGGAGTAAAATCGGAAAAACTTATTAAATGTTTAGACAAAAGTAACGATTATCTTATAAAAAAAATTAAACCCTTCTAATAAAGTTTAGGTTATATTTTGAACCAAAAGGAGTATTTTTGAAAATATTATTTTTCTTATATATGAATTAGACAATAAATATAAGATTGAAGCATTTAATGTTGACAATTTTACTACAATGCTGATTTCACATGAAAGTGTATATTTGGTCAGGTTTCATTTCATAATGTATCTTTTTTAATTTTATAACTCTACTATCGTTAATTTCATTTAAAAAAAGAAAAAATCACAAAAAACCTTAAAAATTAAAAAAAAAAAAGCATATAGGGACCTGTTCACAAAAATTGTTATTATTTGCTTATCAATTGTTGTCAAACCCCATCCTAATATTGTCATGAGTACCTATTTACAATCTTTTTTATTTTTAAGATCTTTTTTGTGCTTTTTCCCAAAAAAAAAAAACCCGAAGCTGAACCAAAATTAAAGAAATGGGATATAGGAAATTATATACTAATATATATTCTGTTTCATTTTACGAGGAAGATATGTTACTTTAAAATATAAGATGTTTTGGTGATTACATGGAGTTGTTAAAGTTGTTTCATTTAAAATACTTCTATTAATTAATTAATAATTGAGATTAGATAATAAGAAGGTGCATTATAATTAACTAATAACAAATTTTAAAGTTTTATGATATCAAATAATATAAAATATAGTTAATTTTAATGATCTTCGTTAAATTATTCGAGGCTACAAGCTATCTTGATTTCTGACGGCTGATAGAAGGGGCAAAAAAAGAGAAATCATATGGTAATATGTAATATTTCTGTTTCAATTTATAAGGAATATAAGTATAGTTTAAAAAATATATTTTGCGGATTACATGAGTTGTTAAAGTTGTTTCATCTAACATACTTTAGGTAAAAGAAAATCTAACATACTTCTCCTGATTAATTAATAATTACTATCTCCGGTCCTAATTATAAAGTTAGTTGATTAGTTTGAGGAATTAAAAAAAGTTAAGTTAGTTATTTATAATAAATAGATATTGTCTTTTCTAAAATATCCTTACTAATTAAATGTGTTGGCTAGAACTATCATTGTTAAAGACTATCTTGAAAAAATACATAAATATGAGAGACAAAATATATTGGAGTCTTATATTTAGAATCAAAATAAAGTCAAATAAGTTTATATTAAGAGTGGAGATAGTAATAATTGCGATTAGATAGTAAAGGTCTATTGTAATTAGTTAGCGATAGAAATTTAAAAAATAATGTTCTTATGATATCAAATAAAATAAATAATTTGTTTTATGGTGAATTAGTTAAAATTGCTTTATAATATAACTCAGAAATAATAATATTCTTTATTTAATTTGCTTTTTATATAATTTTTCCTTGTTTGTTTTATTCCCCGTAAAAATTAATTATATATATTTTTTTCACAGCGAAACCTCATTCTCTTTTAATAATAAATCAATGCGCATTGCAAATAGACCGAACACCTGAATGATTCTCGTGGATATGACATTATTAATAAAAAATCATTTCATTTTTATACAAACCTCTAATTTATTCAAATAAATTTCACGTTTATAACGTTAAACAACATATTGCTAGTATTAAACTAAGATGAGCCCAGTATCTCAAAATATTTTTTAAAGTACATCCAATATTTTAAAATTCTAAAATTTCTTACAGGGCAATTTCAACTGTAAACTAATTTTTATAATGCAATTTCATCCAATCCTAACATAATTTTAACTTTGATTTTTAAAATATTAATTAGGCAAACCTTTAAACACAAATTAGGGAGAATTACAATGAGATCCGAATAAGAAAAACAATTGAAAAACAAGCCTCAGAGGTTGTAATTCTCACTATAAGACTTGTTATTATAGGTTGTTAAAGTTGTTATTGGGGCTTTTTTCTAATTATTTCTCTCTAATGTGGAACTTGATTGTAATTTTCCTCAAAAATTATTCAGGTGGTATCATGGAGGAATGACAACCAGACACAACAACAATCTTCCACGTCGCTGTTATCTACCTCGCTCTCATTCTCGGCTTCATCCTTCTCTTTCTTCGCTTCCCGTAAGCCAATGAAGCCCAAGATCACCATGAGGGTTCCTCTTCCTACTCAGATGCCGCCTAATAATTGTTTTTTTCCTGTCAAAAGTTTGTCTAATCAGTATTATAGAAGTTAAGTTCAACTTCAGTTATGTTAGGCAGGATGGATTGCACCCAAAAAATTAGTTCAGCATTGAAGTTGCACCATAAAACTTTAGGACGTGCACTCAGGAAAACGGGTGTTGGGTGTATCTTACCCTTAGATTATTTAAAAGTTATTATTTACAAGTATTGTAGAATGAGTGACAGCTTTTATTATCTTAACGAACCACCTGATATTCATCCATACAAATCACATCTACGCATCTCCGCAGTGGAGGAATATATATTGCTGGCATTGTGGGTAAGCAAGCAATTAGATCTATCTCTAACATGAATGTTTATGATTAGCTTGATCTCCAGAGAGTTTCTCAATGACTTTGTCAATGGTGTTTTATTTGTTTGCAGCAGCTTGATTCTGCGGAAGGGCTTTCCAACCAATATCTTGGCGGTAGAAGCCTTGAGGCCAATGAATCTGCTCAAGAGCTCGGTAAGCTCGATCACGGGCCTGTTGGAGATCAATTCCTTTGGCAGTGACACCGAGCACACGACCACCGTTAGCGATAAATCTGCCCTCTAGATCATAGGCAGTTCCAGCATGAAAGATTTTAACCTGAGGATCAACGACATCAGCTTCTTCGAGGTTTTGAATCAGGGTTCCTTTCTCATAGGGTCCTGGATACCCCTTGCTTGCCATTACCACAACCATGGCAGATTCTGCAGACCAGTTCAATGATACCCCCTTCAGCTCTCCTCTGCTAGCTGCAAGCAGAACTCGTGCTAAATCAGACTCCAACCTCGCCATCAGAACCTGTTCAAAAGAAGCGGTCAAAGAAAACTCAGTTAACAAAATGACTTCATGAATGAAATCAATCATCTTTAAATAAAGTCTGAGGTTCAAGTTTTCTAAATTAAAAAAAAAATCACACTAGAAAAACTATCTCTTTTTAGGAACCAACAATGCTCAAATCTAAGTTGGAATTACTAGATATCAGGTTGTTTTTACCCCTAATAAATGACTTCTTTATGATGGAGTAATGCCAAAAAAAGTGCCAAATGACTGTGCCTCTTGTATCACCTCATATAAGATCAAGCAAGATACCAATGAACTGAAGAACATTAGAAAAAACGAGTTTTGGAAGCATGTGATCAAGATGAAAACATGAGTATCAAAGGTGGACAGCGGTACCAATTTGTTAGAAACTACATGAGGAGTTTTATAGTTGTATAACATGAGCACGATGAACCATGAACACCCTAAATTATCAGTTAAGCATCCATGAAATTAGTTTGCCATGATTTGTAAATGGCCTGTATAGTATATATATTTCTAAGTGTTGAGATTGTGATAAAAAGAAAATGAATTTGCTGCAATCAAGTATGAGTTAACTAACCTGGCACTCTGGGTCGCCAAAGCGCACATTATATTCTATTAGCTTAGGCAAGCCAGACTTCTTTTCTATCATAAGCCCGGCATACAAAACCCCAACAAACTTGCAACCTTCTGCTGCCATTCCTTTCACAGTGGGCATAATAATAGAATCCATTACTATAGACTCAAGTTCTTTAGTTAGTATAGGGGCTGGAGAGTATGCGCCCATGCCACCAGTATTAGGTCCAGTGTCGCCATCACCGACTCGTTTATGGTCTTGAGCAGATTCCAATGGGATTGCATTTTCACCATCAACCAATGCAAAAAATGAAACCTCTTCTCCTTCTAGAAATTCCTCAATAATGACACGAGAACCGGCAGAACCAAAAGTACCCTTCACCATCATTAAATCAACAGCTTCATACGCTTCTTCCAGTGTCATGGCAACTGTAACTCCTTTTCCAGCAGCCAGTCCATCTGCTTTGACAACAACGGGTGCTCCTTGCTCTTGAATATATTGCTTTGCAGCAGAGGGGTCCGTAAATGTCTTGTACTGCATCAAGCCATTATTCAGCATTAGTTAAAAGTGACAAGTTTCTTCAACATGGCATACAACAACAACAACGAGTCTTATCCTACTAGATCGGTCAGCTACATAGATGGCACAACGCTATTGTGTTCTATCAATAACCAATTCTTTAGATAAATTGTTAATAAAAAGATCTCACTTAATAATTTCGTTGAATGTTCTCTTTGGTCTTACTCTACCCTTTTCAAAAGACTCCATACAACTTGATCTACCTCAATGGTGCATCTAATAGGATGTAAAACAAGGTTGAAAATATATTCAAATAGGACAAGGGCTGAATGTCATGCATGTTTAGTCCAAAGAGAAAAAAGTGCAGAAGAAGGACTAGTTATCAATCTAATTGATGAGATTCTGAATGACCACACAGACCTTGGCAGTTGGAATTTTATACTTGTCACACAAATACTTCATGAAATTCTTTGAACCTTCCAAAGCAGCAGCCTCAGAGGATGGGCCAAAAGTTGGGATTCCTGCCTTAACCAAATCGTTTACAAGACCCGAAACAAGGGGAGCTTCTGGGCCTACAACAATTAGTCCTACACCCCATTCACGACAGAATGAGACTACGGCTGCTCCATCAGAAACATCAAGGTCTGAGATACAAGTTGCACTCCCTGAATTGGAAATTCCTGCGTTGCCTGGGGCACAAAATACACCATCACAAGATGGTGATCGTTGTAAGGCATAGCAGAGTGCGTGTTCACGGCCACCTCCACCAATGACCAGAGCAATAACCCTTTCCTCTTTGGCATGAACAAAATAAGATAAATCAATAAATGACAGAGGTGAGAAGGCAATATATATAATGGTAATCTTACATCATAAACAAAGAACAAAAAGAAAAAGAGGTCTCAATTATAAATATGTCCGTACTTTAACTGACAAAAGGAAGATGACCTGCAAGAATACATTCACAGTGCAGCCTCAGTAACTTTAAAGAGAATGAAAATGTATTTTTGCTCTCAATCATCACCTAGTGACTGATCTAGTAGAAACTGAGATTCCTATATGATAGTAATTTGTCACTGAGAATAGAAAAAAAATGGAATTTTATATGTCCCAGCAAACTGTGCATGGAATGGTTATAGACCACGATGCACAACAATAAACTTAGTTGATTAATGCAAACTTCAATCAGTACTCTGCCTTAGACCATGACGGGTAAAACAGACGAAAACGAAGGACCCTACAGACCACTTCCATATTCACTCCTTGTAAGTATGTAATGGTTTTCAAGATCATAGGGAGAACTAATCAATTATTTAAGAACAGAGACTTAAAAGAAACAAACGAGGAAATAGGTTATGGCAGGACGATGAAACTAAGGAATACATAGACAATGAATATTAAAAGGTTGAGTTACCACGAAGTTTACCAGAATCAATTTTACTATCAGCGCCAACATAGTCTGACGGTTCTGATGTACTAGTAGCACAATTGCAAACACCATGAAATGACTGAAAGCTACTAAAGAAGCGTTTATCCCCGAAAAGATTGCGATTGGTGGAACTAAAACTCAAGGGCTCAACAAAGAGAGTCGAAGCTGAAGACTTTTGAAGAATACCGGCTTGTCTGAACCCAAATGGCTTAGACCCTCCACAGAGAGTACGTCCATAAGGATTAAAAGAAGCCCCAACATTGAAGATGGTGCAAGACATTCTACTCCCTGTTCCAAAATTGCACACTTTTCAATTAAAAAAAAAAATAAAAGAATAAAATTTTAAATAACCACCTCACAGTGATGGTAGCATCAAGCACTATGAGGATCCTCATATATGCAAAAAGTTTAGCAGTAACACCCATTCAGTTAATTTAGCAAACACCTTAGGCACACAACACAGAAAGGCACATTCCTTGGCAGGTGGTATTATACTACAAGGATCATTACACGTTCTCAGTAATAAAGACTGTTATCTAATTGACTAATTTATTCATTTCACAAATTTCAAATACCTTAAGCAAGCCAAAACCAATACACCACTGAGTTCAGATCATTTAAAGAGAGAGGACAAGAACACACTTGTTCAAACAAAGTGAGCAACCGCGGTTAGCTGAGACCGACTCCGTCGCCGCCACTGAAACGATGAAGAGGAGACTTAGCAGGTGAACACAGAATTACTTATAAGGGAAGGAACGCACACTGTATAGCTCACTGATCGCCACTGGTTTTGATTGAGTGAAATTTTAAGAAAAGGTGACGCTTTGGGATTCGATACTTAATGTACGTATCAAAAGGCGGGAATTATGCTCTATTCCTTTCATATTAGGGGGCAGTTTGGCCAACTAAAAACCACTTTCAAAAAATATTTTTAAGCAAATCAGATAAAATCCTGTATATTTATTTGGGTTAAGGTGCAATTTTAACAACAAAGTTTTCCGAAAGAGCACTGGGCACCATAAAGTTTATTTGGGTGCAAAAATATACATGAAGTTGTCAAAAGGGAACATCTGGCACCATGCCGTTAATGTCCGTCAGTTTGCCGTTAGAGGGGCCCACAAAGTCAATTTTAAGGTGCATTTTTAACAACAAAGTTTGCATCAAGGGACATTAGGCACCATGAAATTTATTTGGATGTAAAAATATACATAAACTTTGTAAAAGGAAAAAAATAACAAAATTCTTCAACCTCCATAAACATCCATTAATTTTATTCTTTTTGGTCTCACCAAATGCTATATTTTCTCTCTGTAAATTTTCACTTCCAAGCCGATCCATCTTTCTCTCATCATAGTCAACACGCACACTCTCTCTGTCATGTTGTTTTCTGAGCCTCCAAGCCTTTTATATATATTTAAGCAAAACACATCTTTCCCTTCTAGGATATGAGGTTTATTCCTTGCACCCGAGTACTACCTCCAGTCCTTAATATACGATCCAATGGACTAATTTGAGGAGATTAAAATAAATAAATAAATTACTTTAAATATTATATTATTTATTTATTTGACGCAATAGCATATAGTACATGATCTCTCTAAAATATTTATATGCATCATTAAATTATATATTAGTTTACAAGCCAAGAAAATTAATTTGGAGAAAAAACAATAAATATAATATTTTAAAGTAATTTATTTATTTATTTTTAATCTCCTCAAATTAATCCATTGCATCCTATATTAAGGACTGGAGGTAGTACTTGGATGCAAGCAATAAACCTCATATCCTAGAAGGGAAAGATGTGTTTTGCTTAAATACATATAAAAGGCTTGGAGGCTCAAAAAATAACATGACAGAGATTGTGTGTGTGTTGACTATGATGAGAGAAAGATGGATCGGCTTGGAAGTGAAAATTTATAGAGAGAAAATATAGCATTTGGTGAGACCAAAAAGAATAAAATTAATGGATGTTTATGGAGGTTGAAGAATTTTGTTATTTTTTTCCTTTTACAAAGTTCATGTATATTTTTACACCCAAATAAATTTCATGGTGCCTAATGCCCCTTGATGCAAACTTTGTTGTTAAAAATACACCTTAAAACTGACTTTGTGGCCCCTCTAACGGCAAACTGACGGACATTAACGGCATGGTGCCAGATGCTCCCTTTTGACAACTTCATGTATATTTTTGCACCCAAATAAACTTTATGGTGCCCAATGCTCTTTCGGGAAAACTTTGTTGTTAAAATTGTACCTTAACCCTATTTATTTCGCATATTATAAAATTATTTTTAAAATTATAGTTTAGTTTTATTAGAACAAAACGGCTATCAAATGCATATGATCATTGGGAAAGTAATTAGTAATAAACTGGGATGGGATTAAGGTCTGGTAAAAATATACTGGTATCAATGATGACAAAACAGAATATTCGATGTTCAGCTTTATGAACAACTAACCTAATATCATCAATCAAATCTTTGAGAGGGTGATCATCCTCACACCCTCTAATAGAGTGACCGAATCCTTTTCTATAGAAGAGGGAGATGCATATACCCCCGATCGACACACTTATAGGCGGAGCTTCTTTTTTTTTTTTTTTCCCTCCCTTTTTTCGTAAGCAAGGTGCAGAAGCTTAAAGCTGTAAATTAATTATTTTCTTAAGCAACGTGCAAGGCCTAATTTGTTGAGAAGTTAATATTTTTAACAAGGATCTGAGCATCCCATATATTTTTTGAAAACAAATTTGATTCAAAAGTTTAAAATCGTAACAATATTATTTTCTTATCATTAAAAATATCAACAATCAATGTCATTATTTTAACTAATTTTTTAATAGTATAAGATAATATTGTTACAATTTTAAACTTTCGAAACAAATTTGTTTTTAAAATTTTTTTCAAATACCCAAAACTCAGAAGTGAAAACTTTCAAAAACAAATTTTAATTTTAATTTTTTTAATAAACTAAATAAGAGGAATTTCATTACTAATTGAAAAGCTCAAAACCCCCAGCACAAAAGATTGGTTTGGAAAAATAAAGAAAGAAAGAAGAGTAAAACGTAACAAGCCATACCAACTTATCTAGTCGATCTTTCAGAAAAAGAAAAATATACAGCTCATATTTTGTAAGGATTTGAAATGAAATTCACCTCGTTATCTGGCTTTATCAATTTTATTGTTTTATGGTAGAACAGTAATCAATAATCCGATACAAAAAATGTAAGAAAGCGAGGCAAGTCGGAAAACGAAGATCGGGACACATCTTCAAAACGTTAATGATATTCCCCTGGACCACTGGAAACGGGCCAAAAACAGAAAACAGGAACAGAAGTGCAGGAAAACTGGATCAATATGCACTATATAAATCCTTATGTCTGCTGTATTACTAAAATCATCATTGAAGTGTGTGAAAAATATACAAGAAAACGTGGTCTCTTGCGCAAGAATAGAGAACAAACCCCATCCCATGGCCAATGAAATCAAAAACTGCAATGTTCCATTAGGAACTCCTTATGGGGCATTTTCACAGATGCCCTGGATATTTTACAGCCTGCTACCAATTGACAAGTGGGGGGGAAGGGGGGGGGATGTCAATAGTGGCTAGGTGTGCAAAGCCATAAATAAGTTCTGCCTACGAGCATGCTCTGGAATAAGCCGATTGATGACATCTTGCGGGATACCGGAGAGCTCTGCCACCACAAACAACATATGAAGAACAGGGAAAAAAAAAGAAAATATTAACATAAGGACGAATTAATTTCTCAACCAGTTTGTCCTCCAAAGGTTTCACTAGTCTTTTTTCCCCCCTCCATGATTTTGAAGATTATAAAAGCTGTTTCACTTTCCATAATCCTAATTAATTGCTACATTGAGCTCTTTACTTAGAGGGTAAAGGGAACAATTTTCACAAAACACAAGTAGGTCTATCAAGATGCAAAATTGACGGATGATGATAAGGTAAATGAGTGAACTCTCTCATGACGTCAATGGAGACAACATCATGCACCCTGGTCCTGTTGAAGATGCCTTGCACCCATACAAGGCTTATGCTCCTCTGTTAGTATTAGAGGTTATATGTACTAGATTGTATTCATTCAGAGTTTGTACTGCGCACATTTTTCTTTTCAGGTTCCTGACCGTAAATTTTGGAATACGAAACTTTTTCTTCTACTTTCCTCTTTCCCATTTATCAGGTCATAGTCTATCAATAACTCGTGTGAATGTTGCCAGCAATTTCTAATATTGTCATTCTGCATAACTCTTCCCAAGAATAGCAAGTTCAATATTAAACTTTACTGATCAATCAGGCAGTGACTGAACGTACCTGCAGCTTTAAAATTAAAAAGAGGAGGAAGTGGGCGGCCATTAGGAAGGCGGGTATTTGGATCCCTCAATTCATCAAAGAAAGGATGAATGCAAGCTTCCAACTGCAGTACAATACAATGTCCAGCATCGACTATTATAACAATATTCTAGTTCCAAGGCCACCGAAGAGAAGAGAAGCATAACAAAATGGAAAGGCTAAACTTACAGCAGTGCATCGCAAATTGGGAGAATACTGAAAGAACCTACACACAAGGTCAACTGCTTCAGGGGGTAACCGCTTCTGAAAGACCTGCCAGGTTAGGAAGATATCAGAGCAAATTCCTCATCCAAACGACACTCCCTTAAAGCAGTGTATACCAAGACATGCACAAAGGGCTTTTGCCAAGACTTCATATGCACATATATCAAAGAAAGTAATTGATAACAACATTAACTCAGCAAAGACACTTGCACCATTGTGCAACTGCAATCACTATACAACAATGCAACCTCTAATAAGTCTGTCAGCCTAAACACACAGTGTTCCGTCCTGACAAATTTATGGTGGGAAGTGTCTTCAAGACCCAATATCTATACTAACATGGTTATGGGTCTATTTGACCAGTTTGATCAAAATTCAATACTAATTCAATCCCACGCCAAATCATGTAAATCTGCTGTTTGGGAGACAACACATACTCAACAGGGATATCAGCTTACTTGATCCTGTTTACTGACCTTGTTCCCCACTCTGATGCCATTATAGCGCGGGCATGTTAGTTTAATCCTGTTCGAGCACGCCACATTTAACAGAAACTAATAGCATTACCCATTTAACTGCCACGGACTTTTTCTTGATATATACTGCATATTTCTCTGACCAACAATAGCCCTTTTTGTTGTTTTTTCTAAACATTAACAAGGTTTATGCTTCCTTGTTCCCATCTATTCGATGAGTGATGACCATTAACCCCTTCCCTCATTTCCGCACAGAACCAAAAAATTGAAAGCAATATGCTTAGAATGAGCCATGATCCAGACAGAATTCTCACCATACCTCAGGAATGAAGGATCAAGTTCATTCTAACAGCATCCCAATCAGGTAGCTTTCACAATTACTTGTCAAAAGGTAACATTTAAGGAAAAGCATGCATGATTTCGTTAAATGAAACACAAATATGTATCTGAAGAGCTACATAGTACAAGCTCAAATAATACTCAGCACATCTAGGAATCAAGTTATTAGGATATGTAAGCAAAAAAAAAAAAAAAAGGAAGAGAGGGGAAGAGGGATACCTTGTGCCATGGATGAGGTTTAATCTGTGGAAACTTAAATTCAGTATAATTTGGGTTCATGCATTTTATCTCTTCCCTTGTTGGAGTTCCCAAAACCTGAAAGGAATTATATTTTGTACGGGCAACTTTGAGTCACGATGAACCATGTAATTGCTCGTGCCAAAAGAACAACAACAAACCTTCATCAGGGCAGTTTTCATTTTGCTCTATTTTATTAAAGCTAGCTCAATGCACCAAGAGATAACCAAGAATAAAACGCATCTTCAGATACAGCATTGGAAAGAAATCAAGAGCAAACAAGACAAAATTCTCCTTTGCAACTTGTATGCAAAGAAAACATAAGATCCCCAGAACCTACACCATTTCCTGATAACTCACACTAAATTTGCTACACTTAAGAGTCCAAGATATAGATAATTAATAATTTATTGATTCAGCTATTAGTCTATTATACAACTATAGGATAGTCAAATCCATCTCTTTTAGATAGTAAATTGAAGAAAAATAACCCTCACCTTAATGATTTCAACAAGTTGGTCAACTCCACTTTCTCCAGGAAACAGAGGCTGGAAAACAATTTGAATTTTAGGTAAAAAGGCCAAAAAAACAAAAAACAAAAGATCAAAAGAAAAAGAAAAATATACACGCATTTATTCAAGCATCAAATTACCTGTCCAAGAAGTAATTCAGTCATTACACATCCAGTTGACCATATATCTATAGCAGTTGTATACTCAGTGGCACCAAAAATAAGTTCTGGAGCACGATAATATCTCGAACAGATATAAGAAACATTTGGCTCTCCTTTCACCTGATAAAATAAATATGAATAAAATATAAGCTGAAAAACAAAAAGCTTCCATCAATCATCAGCATTCAGCAAGCCGGGCTCAATTTCTTACCAACACTTTAGCACTTCCAAAATCACAAATTTTCAGCTGATGCGTATGTGGATTCACCTGATATAAGCAACATGCATTTGACTATAAGTCGTGGGGAAAGAAAGAACATAACTGCTGCCAACTCAAGCATTAAAAAGTTGCAAATTTGACCATTTCAAACATTTTTTCTCTAGATGACACAACATGAATTCCTAATCATCTCAAGAAGACAATAAAAAGGCTCGTAAACAACATGCCAAAAGGATACCCCTTTAAATAAAGCCCCATCTAAACCTCTCTTCCAATAGCTTAACGGAGCAACAAGGAATAAATTGTCTACTTGGTAACGTATGAGTGATGGAAGAACACAGCAAGTTTAATTACTTCAGAAATATCATAAATTCAGCAGGTCAGAGTTATATAGTGGTAAGCCCCACCCAGGACTTTCTTAGCACCGTTCCTCTCCTTCAATCACTTACATTAGCAAAAATGTTGAGACATCCCTCAGTAATCAGCCCCAATAAATTCAGTTGTTAAACTTAAAACGGATTTATCATAAGCAATCCTCGGACTGACTGTTCTTTAGGATCCAATACTTTCCTAAATATGGTACAAGTTTAAAGGAAAATTCCATATATCTGTAATATCAAGAAGGATCATTAACAACACTGCCAGAGCAGGAAGAATTAAAGGCAATGGAAGTTAGAAAATTCAAATAATCCAGCCACCACAACTTAAAATCAGAAAAATGTTAAACAAGATTACTGGTCTTCATAAAAACGTGACATGGATAATTGAAATGGTTGTAAAATGTAAACCCGGGATTGTAAAACCTCATCATAAGATAAAACTTCAGATGAAAATTTTCAAAGACATCACCAGATGATAAGTCTAAGGTGAAAAATCTTTATTAAAAAAAAAAAAATCAATTTTGTTCCCATGGATATATGAGAATGAAGTCATCCGAACATTTCAACGACTAAAACTGATGTCTCACAAGTAGATTCTGAGGTTTGATGTCACGATGGCAAATTCCAATGCAATTATGTATGTATGCAAGAGCCCTGCAAATCTGCAACCAAGTTCAGGAGAAAACAATAACATGAATAAGGCAAGAAAAAATTACTAGATTTCAAAATGTACAGAACACATGATTGAAATTTTAGATTCTGCTCTTCTGAAAATATTTTCCAAATGCAAAATCTGCGTCCAATTTTTTTTTTTTCATTTTTCAGAGACCTTCCTTTCTCTCTTTCTTTCCTTCTTTTTTCTAAAGCAAAAAAGAAAAACTCCACATCCTTCCCCAGACATAAATTACCACTAAATAGATTCTCCGATGAAAATATTATCATAATTATTCAAATGAGGCCATCTAAAAGAAACATGATAATAAATAAAAAGATAGCCCTTAGACGATATTACATAGACTCACAGGGAATGATTATATATATTGCAACAATATCCTCTCAGTGGATTATTTGTAATTTGGGAAGCAGGGGAGTGTCTTTCCAGACTTGCCTCTATAAAAGCTAGAGCTACATACCTGGTAGGTGTAAAGCTTAACATATATTAAAGGCATTCGCTGGTTGATCCTGCTATAATTCCTTGCAACACGATTAACAGTTTCAGGAACGTATTCAAGCACAAGATTCAAGTAAAGCTCTTCTTTGTCAGTCGTCGAAAAGAAATAATGCCTAAGGGCAACAACATTTGGATGATCCAGCATTTGCATAATCTGCAACTCCCTATTTTTGTAGCGCTTGTCCTGAAGAACCTTTTTAATGGCCACAATCTCTCCAGTTTCCCTGCATTTTGCCTGATAGCAGCATTAACACACAAAAAAAAAAAAAATCAGAACATGGTAAATCAAAATCATGCATTTTCAAAAATATAACAAATGCAAAACTACGTGCTTCGCCTCACTTGGAAAACAACACCAAAAGACCCTGTTCCAATCACGTGCTCTGCAATATAACTGACATTCTGTGAACTTAAAGAAACAATTGTTAGGGAAGTTGTCATGGGTTAAACTGATTTTCATAACTGCAAGAGTTTTCAGTTACAAAAGAATCAAAAAGTTTTTTTCTTTAAAAAAAAAAAAAAACTTTTTACCTGCTTAGATTGGCCATTTCGACCACCAATGCTGGTTCTTATCACATGTCCTGTTTCAGCACCCACACCATCGATTATGTCAGGCTCACTATCCTGCAAAATAGAAAATAGTGACAACTCAGAAAGAGAAGCAAAAACAAGAGCTGCTCAAAAAATTTGAAAGCTTAAAAGGCAGTGAATTTGAACTCCACTGTGCTTTTGAAGCAGGCGCACTCACTATACATGACTAGAAACCCCTTTGCAGCCTACAAGTGATCAATCACAATAGCAAATAACCATTCCGGAGGGGACCTAAACTCATTTTACGGGTTGAAATACCCGATAGAGATTTTGAAGAAACAAAACCTTGAATAGTTGAGACTTGAAGGCAACTTACTCTGTCCTCATCATGGTCCACCTTGTCCCTCAACCTCATCTCAAGCATCTCCCTCCCAAGCCAATCCACCGCACTGGATGACTCTCTGAAGCCATTAGCAGACCTGGAACTGCCGACCCCACCATTTCCAAGGCCTGCAGACGCCATGGCTGTCCTGACTTGCACAACTATCACCAATATCACTATTTGCGGCCTCCCGAATATTCTGCTCCGGCGTTTCCGAATTCCTCCAAGCAACTGTCAACCTACAAGAATGTAATAAAACCACACTCAAAATGAGAAGCCGAAAACACAAACTGTGAAGTCCACAACAATTTAGAATACAAGGGGAAACTGCCAGAAAAAAGTTAGTATATAGAAGAATAAACACAAAAGCATGCAGTAAAGGAATATTAAATAAAATTTCAAAAAGAGCAGCTTTTTCAAGATTGATCAGATCTAACCTTTTAAACATTCAAACCTCAAATCAACCCCACTTAACCGCAGCAACAGCATATACTAGACTAAATTCAATTAAGAAAAAACATAAAACAAAAAATTCACACATAATAGCCAACTACGGAAACACAAACTCACCTGCAAGCTTTTATGATCAATATCGAACCACTGCTCTTGCATTTTACTAAGCTTTCAGTTCCCAAATACGAATACTTTTTTCTTTAAACCGAAAAAAGAAAGCCGATCGAAGAGTGTGAACTGCTTGCTCGCGATCCTATGAACGATAGATATCTCTTCACAAATTTTCTCGGCAAAAAGTTTTGGGAGCAACAGCCAGTTTCTCTGCGAACTGTTTCTGTGTGAGCTTTTTCTGTTTCTGTTTTATTTTCTGATAATCGCTCTGATACATATCCATTCCGTCTTCGATTCTCCCATACCAACTACACGCATTGGGCATTGGAGGTTGGAGCATGTGGACACTGTATTATTATTATTATTATTATTATTATTATATTATTACTTTTTTTTTTTTTTTTATCAAACAAAACCTTTTAACTAACAATCTGTTTTAAAAAAATTTCATTAATAAAATACTACTTCTAGTCTTAATTATAAGATCTCGTCTTATAATTAAGAATCTATAAACGAGATCTTATAATTAGGATCACAAGTTGTATAATAATAATAATAACTCATATAGTCATGATATGTGTAGAGGCATACGACTTTGTAATTATGGTTGTGAAGTTAATAATAAAATATTACAATATTACAATAATTATAAAAATAAATTGAGTAAAAATATATATTATTTAAATAAGAAAAATTAAAGTGTGTAAACAATCTTGATATATATATAAAAAAAGATAGGTATTTTTGAATATTTGATGTCAGTTTTTTATTTTATATAAGTACTGTATCTATGTTCATATGATTCTCTTAAACTCTTAGTCACTCGTATTGAAATATTTAACCTGAAAAATTAAATCCTTCATCTTTTATATTTAAAAAAATTAAGATCCTTTAATCTATTTAATCCCAAAGATTGCAATTCCTTCTGCCCTAGATGCATTATTAATTAATTAACATAGTAATTCATATTATTATCAATTGAAGAGAAATCCCGAGTGCAATTGTGTGAAAGTGTAAATATAAGCGTGATAACGATGTCACAAAAAAGAATATTATAAACTTTAAAATATCTGAGGTCTTGATGTAATGAAATCGATAATACATGAGAAAATTATTTTTTAAAGTAAAATAGTTTTGGGAGAGAGGATTTTTTTTTTTGAAAGAAATTGATAAGATAACTAGCGGCCCAGAGTTCATTGAATTTTTCTGCATCTATTTGTCTTTTCATGAGTCAGGATTACATGATCAAGTATTTGGGATTTTTTTATGGGAAAATCCCAGAAAAAGCCCTTGGAATATACCAAATCTCAGATTGGATCCTTAAATTTCAAAACTGACAGAATGGGTCATTGACCCAATCTGTCATTTGTGAAATTCAGGCGAATTGACATTTTTGCCCCTGAGTAAAAGCGAGTAGTTATTCTCTAAACAAATCTAGGTAACGCTTACACTGTTCTAGTGATTACAAGATTCGTTGTAGTTAATAATAAGGTACCTGACAATAATAAGATACCTGACTATGAAAAAACGAGTAGTTATTTTCTACACAAATATAGGTAATACTTACATTGTTCTAGTGATTACAGAATTAGTTGTAGTTAATAACAAGACACCTGACTATAAAAAAGTGAGTAGTTATTCGCTACACGAATCTAGGTAACACCTAAACTTTTATAGTGATTCCTTGAATCATTGTAGTGAATGAATAAATGAGGGCAAAATTGTCAATTCGCCTGAATTTCACAAATAACAAATTGGGTCAATGACCCATTCTGTCATTTTCGAAATTTAAGGATCTAATCTAACATTTTCCATATTCCAAGGACCTTTTTTAGGATTTTCCCTTTTTTTATTTGTTACGCTTTTATGAAAAAAAATTAATTTAATGATCAACACCATAGCATGCCACATGGCTCATGGAACAGAGCACAATCAAGTAAGAACAAACAAAAAAAGAAGAGGTTTATTAAGAAATATTATCATTTTGTTTCTCAAGTAGAATCATTCTCTCTTTGACTTAGTAATAATATAAATTTAAAAAAAAATTAGAACAATAAAAAATTATAATAAAAAAAAGGTTCATGTTTCAGAATCATTGCACTACAAACTTCAACAGTATTTGAAAATAGTATCCATCAGTGTATTTTGTCTCTATATGACACAAGGCAAGGAAATGAAATAAGCTGAAGGAGTAGGGGTGCTTCTCGAGATATCACTAGCTTAAAGGTAGTAATAGGATATTGCTATAATAAATTAAAAATAAATCCAAATGCTAAGCAATTAGATTAAAAAAAAAGTATTTGAATAAAAAATAAATATAGTTTTAAAATAAGTTTATGATGTACGAAAAAAGTCTTATCACAGCACTTTTTAAGGGTATTTTTGGGCAATCCAAACACCTTATAAGAGCAAAGTCACATTGTCATGTTGAAATTTGAAGTAATTTACAGTAGTTTTTTTTACTATTTTTAAGAATAAAATGACAATGTTATATTGTTCTAGTAATCAACTTCTTAAATGAAAATAAGTTCATTAAGAGTTACCGCCCATATTTGCTACTTAAAAAGAGTCACATATGCTTAATTAAAATTATATGATTATGCCACTGGCCGTTTGGCCGAGTGGCATGTGTGTGTTGCGGTTTGATCCCGCCCTGATATAACCAAAAAAAAAATTATATAATTCTTTTCTTTCTTTAATACTCCCTCCGTTCCTTATTATAAGAGACGAATACCGAATTACGTTGATAAAAAAACAGTTAAAATTACTTAAAAACAATTAATATGTAAAAAGTATACTTTTTTTTTTCCAAAAATACCCTCATTAATAAGGAGAGAGAACATGAGAGAGAACAATGGTAATTTATTGAAAGAAAGAGAAGTGAGAAGGAGAGAGAGTGTAAGTTGGAGACAATAAATATGGGTAAAATAGGAAATCAACACAAAAAAGTAGAGACAACTTTTAAGTGTCTCTTATATATAGGAACATGCCATAAACACCAAATGTCTCTTATAATAAGGAACGGAGGGAGTATATTAGGAGGATTTGAAACTTTAATCATTATTCAGACCCAACTTAGCGTTTTCGAATTAATTAACTTTAAATGATTTTGTGTTGGAAAAAATTAAATGATTTTGTGCTGTATAGGATAAACATATGAAATGAGTTTTGCCTCTTAAAATGCAAAAGATCCTTTGCTATTTAAGCTAGTTTCATGTGGTTACATAAACTTTGTAATAAATGGATGACTGAGAGAAATTTAGATCAAGGATTTGTTTTTTGTGAATAAAAAGAATTATGTTAAAAAAATAATCATATTACATTTCATAATACTCAATTTTGAACCAAAAATATCATGAGGGTGCTAAATAATTGCGTAAAGAAGATACTACACGCATTTATTTGAGAGAAAACTCCATTTAAAAGTGTAATACTACTTCTGGTTCTTAGTGTAAGAGTTAGTTAACTGATTTGAATAAATTAAAAAATTAGTTAAGTTAACTATTTATAATAAACAAGTATTGTCTTTTCTAAAATATCTTATTAATCAAATGTATTAGCCAAAACTATAATTATTATTAAAACTACCTTAAAAAAATAAATAAATATAAAAAACAAAATAAATTTATGTTTTATATTTAGAATCAAAATAAAAATCAAACAGTTTAACTAAAAGTGGTATAAAGTGTCATCCAACCACTAGTGCAAAACAACTATTCTAAAGTGACTTTTTTAGAAAAGTTATGGAAGATGCAGCTTAAAAAGTATGACTGACCATATTTTTGTAAATATCAGTACGTTTTCTAAGCCGGTGTCTCAAATATAAGATCTAAAAGATAACTTCTAGACCGGGTATACACAAAAACGGGTGTAGTTAACATTTTTTCCTACAAAAGGAACTTAAATTCAAAATTTTAAAATTAAACCAAATAGCATGTCACGAAAATAAAGAGTACATTGTCTATACTAGTTCAACCAAAAAAAAAAAGATCTGGAAATGATTTTTTTTCATTGCAAATATATATAGCATTTATCATATTCTAGTTACAATTATCATTGCCTTTTTACGCTCTTTATTCAATGACATGAATATAATTTTTCATCCAAAAATAATGTCCTTTCAATCCTTTTCTCTTTGGGTTACATAAAAAAGGTGAAACCCTGAACTTTTCACTTTCACTATATACCGAATCAAAATTTGCCTGGGTTTCAGAGATTGTGAAAATCAGCAGTCCAAGAACAATTTTTGTCCCACTATAAACAGCTTAGCCAATTAGGGTGTACATAAATACATGTGAAAAGAGGGGCAAAAATGATGGGACAACCAAGACCTTCATTGACAGATTATGACAGATGATTACATACCTATACAACATATGTTGAGATGAGATAATACTTAAAGAGTTGGAACTTAGCTCACAGGCAATTTCATATCCCAATTGCATCAAGCAACTCTGAATGTTGAGACACAGAAACCAACGAATTCGCGACAATGGCTCCACTAGCAGCAACTGCTGGGACTCCAATGCCTGGGAAGGTGGAGTCTCCACAACAAAAAAGCTGCGATATAGGGGTTGAATGTCCAGGAAAAGTGCCTTTACCAGCTTCTATAGCTGGTCCATATGTTCCTCTGTGCCTCCTAAGAAACTTTGATGTGTTTAGAGGACTTCCCACCAACTTTACTTCACACTTATCCCGGCTAAAACCTGGACCAAGAGCACGTTCCACAGCTTTCCACATTACCTGACAACAGTAATGAGTCAACCTTAAAAACAAAAAAAAGCTTGAAAGGATAAGGGACATAATCTAGAGCAGATTAATTTATGGATGTGTAGAATTAGCATCAAGTGATGGAAAGAAATGATAAAAACAGGATTAATTTAAGATGATAATGGTGGTTGAGTGCGAGGATAGCTCATGAAGGGTTAAGATTTTTTGTAGTAGTGATTTTAGAAGAGAGAGTGACACAAAAGAAATGTATGTATGTGAGTCACTTTCCTTTCAATGTTCCTTTGTGCCTCCTAAGAAACTTTTGATGTGTTAGAGGACTTCCCACCAACTTTACTTCACACTTATCCCGGCTAAAACCTGGACCAAGAGCACGTTCCACAGCTTTCCACATTACCTGACAAACAGTAATGAGTCAACCTTTAAAAAAAAAAAATAGCTTGAAAGGATAAGGGACATAATCTAGAGCAGATTAATTTATGGATGTGTAGAATTAGCATCAAGTGATGGAAACAAATGATAAAAACAGATTAATTTAAGATGATAATGGTGGTTGAGTGCGAGGATAGCTCATGAAGGGTTAAAGATTTTTTTGTAGTAGTGATTTAGAAGAGAGAGTGACACAAAAGAAATGTATGTATGTGAGTCACTTCCTTTCATTTTACGAATTTTTTTACTTTTCTCCATCTTTGTCTTTATACAAAAATTACATACTGTTAGATTCAGAGAATCTAGATCCAGCTCAAGGATATTCTTTTGGCACAGCCTAATGAGCCCAGGCCTGGGCTTTACCCACAGGCTGGCCTTAATGATCCATGATGGTCTAACGCAAGTTGAGCTACGACACCTGTTTAGGCTTGGACTTAAGCTTGTTCTAACGCATGAACCAAGTATCATGATAAGGTGGACCCAGGATTCGTTTGAAAGAGAACTGCTCAAGGCATTGAATTTGAGCATTTTTATCATTTGATTAAAATTTTCAATGTGTTTTAGCAAATTTACATTTTGAATATGCCACCTGTCGTGTTTTTTTTTTTTTAATTCTGCTTTCATTTAAGAATGATTCTTTTTCTAATGAAGTATTTGCTCTTCCCCCTTAAAAAGCATACTTCTTCTCTCCATGGCCAAATTGGCACTAGGCATATTCACATACCTCTGACCTTGAAGCTTTGAGATCTCTGTATTCAGCACTCCTGCGATCAAGCCTTTCCACAACTCAACGGTTCAGTTCCTGGCATATAAGCATGTAATACATGTTTTCCTGGTGGCGCCAGATTAGGACTAAGCACACTAGGCACTGAGATCAACACAACATTCTGATCAGCATCGACTCCTCTTTCCCAGTCATTTACAACTATGTGATGAATTCCCAAATCCTTGCGTATATCCTGGTCCAGTAAGACATCGTAACAAAGTTATCCCCATTTGTTGAAGAGTTTCAATAATGAAAGCTTGTGCTAAGCTTCCAAACAGATGTTCCAATTCATATCCTGAAACTTCAAGGTATGATATGTATATTTCATGGTTTAACAGAAGTGAAGATACACCATGTGCGAGGGAAGAGAGAAGAGTTTTTGGTGAAGTCGAGTTTTCAGCATGCATACAAGGCATGCAGTTCTTGAACTTAACACATAAAAACTCAAGGCATATACGGCTCTCCTTACTCTTACTATATTTGCTAAAGGGAAAAAAAAAATGAGGTGTATGATAGTAGTCTCCATAATGGCAAACCTAGCATCAAATCCTAAATGGAGATGCATGAATGATTCACATTGAGGGGCGTGTTAATCCTAATCCTGTCAAATATGACTTCGGAACAACTTCCTTGGGTAGCAATTTTAAAGTGTCCCACATTGATGCATTGTGACCACAGCCTTCCTAGCACGTATGAACTGTTGAATACACATATTCACATCAATAATGACAAAAATATAGATATGAATGATTTAAGTCTTCTTTTTCTTCTTTTTTAAGTTTTCAAAAATACATACCTGGCCACTTCTCAGCCTGACTCCAACGGCTTTGTCCTTTTCAACAACGATATTTTCCACATGACTTTCAAGAGAAAGCCTTCCCCCAAACTTCTCTCATCCTCGCACACAAGGGCATCTACGATTTTCAAAATATACATACCTGGCCACTTCTCAGCCTGACTCCAACGGCTTTTGTCCTTTCAACAACGATATTTTCCACATGACTTTTCAAGAGAAAGCCTTCCCCCAAACTTCTCAAGTCCTCGCACAAGGGCATCTACGATAGCAGCACTTCCATCAGTGGGATATTCAAGACAGCATCCGGGTTTGTACCATTCTGCAACACATGTAAATCTGGAAAATCAAAGAAAAAATGGTTCTGGCATCAATAACAACAATTAGTAGAAAATCCCAAAAGCAAATGCTATGAAGCAAAGGAAACTATAGGATTTTTCTTCTTCTTCTTCTTCTTCTTTTTTTTTTTCCTTTTTTGTTATAAGAAACATATATGACTTCAACAGTTGAAGGATACGCACAACTTCAACGAGGTCCATTCTGTCAAGGATCACTTCATCTCAAAATTCAAAAGTTGTCAAGTCCACAAATAGTCTTATCCTAATATCCAGGCCTCTTTCACATCAAACTTTGGGCTTGATGTGTGGACAAAGTGCAGGCCCACCATACCTTGTGCATAAGCTTAAATTTAATCAAAGTAACAACGGGTGGCAAGGATGGAATTCTAAACCACATAATGATGAAGGCTTGATTTCATGTTACAGAATGCTTCAACTTAAAAGATTGAGCTATCAAGCAATAGCTCATAAATAAATTATTATTCTATCTTCCACATTTGACAACATAAACAGAAGCATGGTCATGAGCTATATCAGTTTTTTCAGATAAATAGTCTTCGGCAATTTTATATGTAGTTACCATCTCCGCTGAGAGTACACCATTAGATTTCACCCCAGCGAGCAAGAATGACAAGAGATCAACCCAGTTCCTTATGAAAGGGTCTTTCAGCTCCAATGAATCAATTATTTCTGAGAATGGTCTAAGAAGTTTCGTAGCACCAATGGCACCTTGAGGTCCCATCTGAATAAAAGATTTTAAGAGAGAAGGGGCATATCTAGCTCCTGCAGTGGAAAGAACACCCAAATCTCCTCGTATAGAGAGAGGAGGAAGAGCCATTGCGGCTGCAGACAATGGAAGTATAGCATCCTGTCAAAGATATTTACATTTTGACATATGAGAGGCAGCAAACTGATTTCAAGCGTGTCAATTTTTGAATAGATAGATATCTTGACAGAAGTAGGCAGAGTACTAGCAGCACTAACAAGAAGTTTCTGCCATTCTTTCACAGCATTTGGACTTGCATACTTCTCAAGGTCCTGAAAGATAATCAAGCAATAAATAGAAATTACTATTGGTGTCAAAAGCTTATGAAAAACTAGCAAAAACAGCAAGATAAAGATTAATGATCAAATCTTGATTATTTAAATGTGCATAAGATAACAAAACTATTGATAGTTATGCAACTGAGATTTAAAATGCTTCCCTAAGTAGGTCTGGCACAAAAGTAAATTCGCAACAAGTAAAACCAAAAAGTATAAGATGCACCGAGTTAAAATATGAACCAAACCCAAAAGGATGAAAGTCAGGCATAATAAGATTTTATATGTTTCACTGAAGAAAAGAGAACGTTAAAAAGGAATCAAGCATGTATTGAATGTATAAAAACATAGGACATTAGTGGTGGAAAGACATAGACCGTAAAATCACCTTGAAAAATTCTGTAGGCCCTATGCGTGACAGGAATTCACCTTCAGGGATGTAAACCATCCATGAATCATAAGTGGCACATGGGAGAGACTCACCCAAAGCATCCAGAACCTAATCATAAAAAGAAGGGACATTTAACTTAGGTGCTTGAAATTGAATACAACCTTTAAGTCAAATGAATGTTTCAATCTTAGGATATATATCAGTAAAGCTGCAGTAAGATACCATAACATTAGTACCTCAAACTGACATGTGTTGTGTAGGTCAGACACATGAAGGCGAAACTTTGGAGATAAATTGTTATCAGTCATCATTCTTAAAGAACGGGGAAAATGTAAAAATTGAAATACCTGTGCAAGAGGATTCGCCTGAAGACCCCTTGATTGCAACCCAGAGAATAAAGATGGCCCAGAATCAAACTTATATCCTTTGATATCGAAAGAATGGGCAGCACCACCAGGTGCGTCATGGCTTTCTAGCACCAGTACATCTTGTTGGTATCGTGCCAAAAGTGATGCGCAGCTGAGTCCACCTATACCACTGCCAATGACAACAACATCAGCTTCAGGCTTCCCTGAAAACCATACCAAATTCACATTAGAAATGCCATTTTCAGGCTCCCAAGTATATGACACTTCAGCGGTTCAGCCAGTGAAACCAACAATTTTTTTTTTTTTGGGGGGGGGGGGGGGGCCAACAATGAAACGAACAATGCTGGCAGTCCACATTTTGACGTTTATTCTTGAAATAAGCATTAAACATTAACCAAAAATCATTATATTTCTCCCTATTTTGGAAAAATTTAACATATGACACCTAGCAGAGTTCAAACTTCAAACTTAAAGAAAATATGAAAGTTAAAACTTCCAAAGAGAAGAGATGTTCTAATGCTGAAACGTTCAAGGGAGATGATGGGCAGCCGTAGATACAAATTCAGGCTAAAGTCTTCATTCTTCTATATCAGAAAAGTAGTCAAAACAACAAGAACATCGCCGTCATTGAATTAGTACTGCATAATAATGCATTTGCCCCTTTTAGGTGAGCAGGGAATTATAGTAAATTAATCCCCTGGAAATAAAAACCAAAATTTTAAACTTTATGGACATTTATGGATAAAGGAAAGTAAGAGACCTGAGAAGGAGTTCTTGTCTTTGAGGGAAACAGAAGCACCGGAAGAGAGCTCCTGAGTGTTGGAGCTTCGCGCCAAAACAGATTTCCGATCCGATGAGAATCTCAATGTGGAACTCTGAGGATTAAGAAATTTGACAAAGTTGGGGAAGACGCCAACTGCCATGGCAGAACAAAATTGAAACGCCAACACAGAGATTGGACCCTCTCGCTCTCTATGGCAAGCTTGAGAGGGGACTCGTATTGCATTCTTCCTCTCCTCTCTTCTCGCGTGTGTAGTTTTGAAATTAGCCACGTCACTGCAAAGTTCTGTTGTCATAATATCCTCTTCCTTTTGTTTGCTTTCTTGTTTTTTTAATTTATTTTTGCCTGTTATTCACTGAAAACAAAAAGCCAAAATACTACCTCTGGTCTTAACCATATAAGATAGATAACTCATTTGAAAAGATTAAAAAAATTAGTTAGTTAGTTATTTGTAACAAATACAATATGTTTTATTTTTTAAAAGTAACAAATATGTTTTGATCTTTTTTTAAATTACCCTTATTCAATTATGTACATTGGATGAGTAGAAATACCTTACAATTAATGGAAATTTTTTTTGAACCCATTATAAATTTGAAAGACAAAATAAACTGAGGTCTTCACAATTTTCTACACCTTTCTTTTAAGCCATAAACTATGATCATGCTTATGATAATTATATATATATATATTTTTTGACCGGATGATATTATATATTTAAAATACATGTCTGACAACAATAATTTTACCCTTTTTCAGCTAGAAACTAATTCAATGTTTTCAAAATGTGATCGGTGATTAAATCAGTTGAAATACTAATTCACAGTTTAACGGTTAGACCATGATTAAATTATGATCCAAAAGGTTGTGATTAGATTAATATGTTTATTTTTTTTTTAAATATTAAAATGTGATAAAAAATTCTAAAAATAGCTAAACGTTTATAATTTAGTATATAAAATAAAAGATATTAACACACATGTATCATGAAAAAATAATATATGGAAATAATATTATTTAGCATTGTCATAAATTTTACAATATCAAATTAAAGAATAAAAAAATATTTTAAGTGAAACATCATTGGATTTTTTTATTAGAAGTTAGAAAGTAAATAATCAATGACTAGCTAAAAGAAATTATATGGGAATTGAAATGTTGATGATGTTTGAAAGTAGGCATTTTCTACTTGCTCTGCTCTCCCTTGTATTAATGTTTCATTTTACTTAATCATTACATCTCATTTGACTCTTCTATGGTTCTCTTATGTTTCTTCCCCATGTGGTCTTTGTCGTCTTCCCCACCAAAGCAACCAAGGACGGCAAAGGGAGTATGCATGTGAATTAGGAGTTCAAGGTATGCCCAAAGGGGTGTATGAAAAGAGGGAGAGACAGAGTCTCTTGAGTCTCCCTTCTTCCATCATCTTTCACTCTTTTTCTTCTTTTAACTTGTTCTGTCATTCTTCTACTTGATGTTCATTTACATCAACTTTTGATCAATTTACTTTTAGTGTTTATTTGATTCTGCTTATGACATTCATGTAAGTCAAGACAACTCTTCTCAGATTTACTTCATATGTCGTAAATTATGATAAAAAAGTTTTTTTTTATAGAAGTTTTAATCATCATTCACTCCTCAATCTAGTTCACCTTATCTTTCATACCCGAGTAGAGATTGGTTTTCTGATTCAACTTGTCGGCCCAATTTTGACAATACCAATGCACTAATAATGCTGCGATTTCTCCTTCGAGTGAACTCAAATTCAGCTCCTTTTCTGTTACACAATATTATTCAGATATTCAGATTCTAACCACGTTAACATATTCAATTATCGAACTTCATGTAAGAGCTCCGAATCGATTAAAGTACCGGCTGACCAGAACATTAAGTTCAAAGAATAACTAACGAAGCTGCATTAAATTTTCGTAATCTCAACTTGAGATAATTCCCTTTCTTTTCTTTTTTTGCCCCACTGGTGGGTGTCTTACTTCACCTGTCATAATTGAATTTAAAAACAAAACAGGCAATTTTGCACTTGAGTTTACTGCTGCGACAGGTGTTGTACGCCTTTCTGGTTTTACTCCAAACATTAATTTGAACCTTGAGTTGTCTATCCATATTAACATTTGCATAGGAAGCATTGGCACCAAAAGGTTGCAAGGATGCACATTTTCAAACAAATTAATTGAACATATAATGAACCAGCAATTGTAACACAGCTATGTTCTGCTGAGAAATCCAACACCACAATCTGTGTACAAAGGGTATATTCTTTTGGAGCCAAAATCTGGTAGCATCCACACAGTAATAACTTCTGCAAGACTGCATCAATCCTTATTACCACACCAACCACCTAATAGTAATTCCCATGTCTGGCCACTACAAGAAACTCCATCGTCAAATCCTTAGGCTAGAGGAGAGCCTACAAAATGGCCCTTTGTGCTTCATCTCAGTACCGAGCAGATATCTTCCAAAACTGTCCGGGGTTTACAAGCAGGCACTCACTTTGTATTTGGCAGACGATGATAATAACCGATTGTATATATAAGTACTAAAAGAACAGGCAAATACACAACGCCCTGTGCTTATATTTACAATTCAACTACAGAAGATGACCCATCTACAAATCCTGACTATACCTGTACTCAGTCAAACTTCAAGGCTAGGCGAGTATATCCACGGGTCACCATGCAGGCAGTGACCCGTATGGTACAAGGGACATTTCATAATTTGTGATACCACCCTCATTTCAATTCTTCCATTGCTCTGGGCCATCTTCAATAAAGTTATGTTGGAAGGCTGTAGGTAACTCAAATGCATCAATTTGGATCAACTGTACTTTCCTCTGTTGTATCGAAAAAGAACCTTTTTTTGACCACAAACTCATTTACTTAAAATTATCTGTCAACCAAAAAAGCGACAGAATCCAGCCACCAGCTAAAGATGCTCCAAAATTGTATGTCAGCATGCTTTTCACTGAAAGGAAAAATCATCAACCTTGATACAAGTGAACGCAAAAGCAATGACCTTGACTAGATCAAGCACAACGTTAAGCTATGAACATAACAAAGATTTACCATCTCTCGACTATTAATTGATAGAACCAATAATAGCTTCATGCAACCCTTTGCACCCAAAAGTTCCAAAAGTCCTTATCTAATCGCACGGTTGTCAAATAGAAATCAAGATAAGATATGTAATTACAAATGTAAATCAATTAGACAATTAAATACATTAGAACGGAATTGCTTTAGGGACCTACACACCCCACTTTCTCTCCCCTTAACCCTTTTTATTGTCAATCTCATTGTGTTTGCCTACTTTTACTTAGTCAACAAGATCATGCAATCCTTTCAATATTGTCATGCCAGCTTCCTTGAGAAGAGGTAAAATAGCTTTTGGCAAGAAAAGGAAAACTAACACTACAGAGATTAATATTGGTGCCTCAACAAATTCGTAAAGAAGTTCAATTAGCAAGTCATAATATGGGCACATCAACAAGCATTAAAAGAGATAGGCATCGCATTTCCAGTTCAGGAATATCTCTTACCAATCTAGATATTTTATGTGCCAGAACTTGCTTTCTGCACCCACACTTGTTTCTGAAAATTTATTTTATAAAAAGAGGAGGAGGAATCAATCATTTATTTAACTATAACACAAGAGGAATATGCAGAGTATGGTCATGCATCCAACTTATATACCTCATGTGAACCATAAGCAGACGCACTGCTTCTTCTTGGATGCTTCCCTTCACTTGAATTAGAACAGCCATCAGCATCCTTCATCCCGTGGGTTGATCCGCGGCGACCAAGATGCTTACTGAACCCTGAATATCAGACAGGCATTGAAATTGAGACACACATAATAGGGAAAAAAATTACAAGCATGGACAATGAATATGAATAAAGTCAATTAGTGAAACAACATCAAAGATCTGCCATTCCAAAAGCAGGAACTAACCATTTTCCGATAACTGACTGGAACGCACATTCCCCTGTTTCGACTCTGTGTGGCTTCCTATACCATATACAATCCATGAATACACTTCACGTCAAGATGAGAAGTATGTAAGCAAGTAATAACAGGTTTTCCAGAACAAGTCAGCCATCAATACAACAGTTATACGTTTTAGCTAAAATGATTTTTATGTTTGTTCCCCACATTCCACATCAGCAAGATTAGTTCGCAGGCACTTGCAAATTCAAAAGACAGTCAGTACCTTTAGCAGAGTCTACTTGTGAAGTTGCAGACGACGACAAGAAGCCATCATTTCCATTAGAAAAAGATGGCCCTATGCCACGATCAGGTCTATCCTTGTGTCTAACATGGCTTCCCTGCCTCTCACTAGAAACATGCATATCATTCACACTAATCCTATCATCTGCAGCCCCATTTGTACCCTTTGTAATCAATTGCACATGTGAGGGACGAGGTGCCCGTTTTTCCTTCTCCAGAATGGATGTTGGAATTTGTTGCTCAGAGTGGGGCCTGGATGACTGGCTTTGACGTAATTCCTTGTTTGAGAGTATGCGTCTAATTATCCTTCCACTACCTTCCTGCCGCTGATTCTGCTTTGGAGTGGGTGAGCCAAGAGCTGTCTTAACCGAAGCTAAACTGTGCGTCTGTAACACGTTATCAGAATCAGATACCTGCATGGTAAATTAAACAAAAGAAACATCAGACTCCAAGCAGGACTTCACCTACAAGTGATCCCACAAGATCAAGCCGCTTGGGATCAACATCTGAAACTAACCATAATTTACTAGGTTACCGTATCATCTAAATATATATACCCCAAGAAAACATACACGCATTGATGCTATTCATCATAATTCATATAGCATGAAGGCAGCAGACAACATAAACTAAATCCTCACAGTTAGTTTGGCAAAATGTAATCATCACGCAACATGAATTCATTTGAATCAAAGCGAAGAGAACAAGATCTTCTGACCTAACAATATTACAAGTAGTTCCTCTATTGAACTCAACCTTTGTCATCCTAACTATTCATATGTGATGTTACGCGAGAAACCAATATCATATAATCCTGTGATCTCCCTCCACGAAAGTGCATACCAGTTCCACTAACAGTGAACCAGGGAAGAACAATATTATAGTTTTAAGGATTGCATGTAATTGATTAAAAAAGCATGTCACTATACAACTTAAGTAGCTTTCCAAATGTAAAGTGATCAGTCTGAAAAACCAGCAAAGCAGAATACACAACCAGTTGATGCAAACTAAACGGTCCATGATGAAACATCAACATTAAAGCTACCACCGTAAAGAAGCATCATCTCCGAGAAAATTAGAAGGGATAAAGAAAGTCCCTTGACGAGTTTTGCTGACAGAGAGTAATAAAACAACACTCCAATCAGGATAGAAATAATGAATACAATCCAGTATCTTTCTATTTCTACATGTAGCCTTTCAAATGAAAATGGAAGTATACTGCAGCTTCTCACATGTAAAGTATCCATTTAAGTTACCTAACCATAAAGATTAAAATCAATCCCTTTACGATGCGCCCTGTACAGCAATACACAGAACTAGCCATTGGATTACAAAGAGGAGAATTCAGAAGCTCACAGTAATTGTATCCCGTTTTTTCCCTTTAAGAAGCAGGATTTTCTTCTTCCCAGAATCATTAAGCCCAGCAACTCCTGAGAAAAAGGAGAACGTGAAACAAATTTCCATTGAAACCAACAGAAGTTTCAGTAAAAATAAACAAATGTAACACAAAGACTCTCCATCTATATATTGAGAAAAATCATTCTTGAAGAGTTGAAGCAGTCTTGAAGGTGACACGATAATCAAATCCTTTATATTGGTCACTGTTAGCATGACTATGATAATGGGAGATGAACTATGAAAGCAGTTGCCGTTAAAAAGTAATAGTGGAGCAAACGTGACTATCATAAAGGTCAACATTTAAAAGTAGGTCAGCAACATGCATGATCTGTGGAAATTATTAATACGTAAATAAACAAGTGCAGTTCAGACGATTCCCTACTTTAGAAACTCATTGTCATAGTAACCCAGATTTCTTATTGTGAAAGGAAACTCTTATGTTTTTGCCCCCAAGCCTCAAGGCATAACAATTGCCCCCATTGAATTATCATACAGTTTGGGAACTTTGGATTCAACCATACCACGCTCATCTTCCAATGCTTGATTTCCATCAGCAGAGGCTGTCACTGTAATTCTATCAGAAAGATGCTGATCACTTTGCTTTGGAACAAGAATGTAAGTTGATTTGTCTTTCACAGGAGCACCTTTAGCAGGGTCTCTTATAACATACTGTCCATCATACAACAAAAAATTTAGACAAGCCAAAACCAAACAAGGTAAAAAAGGCCACGAACTTTTTCTTGGGATAAAAATATTTCTGATGATCTATGACCAAATATATATATTTCTGGTGATCTTTACCAAAAAAATCACTGACGATGATTGATGATAATGCAATAAAATACAAAATAACAGACACAAGATCATCCATTCACAAAAGTAAAAAAGAATAGCACACAACCCAGACATCGACTCAAAAGTATTCCAATCCCTTTGAAGACACAAGATAAACAGTTCTGGTGCCTGAACATGGCAAGATAGAAGTTTCTGGCCACGCAACAACTAAAGCTACACGCCCTCTGGTACAGCCTAATGATTAATTGCAAGTTTGCCCAAGCTAGTTACTGGAAATTGGAAATTTCACATTACACATCAAAAGGACACATTTGTGTTACATTTTTTAACATATTGAAGTTGAAAGCATCATACCATTGTGGTAGAAACCCGTTTCTTCCCAGAACCTCGTCTTACTGAACCAGAACTAGGACTTCCACTTGATGATGCACTGACTCTTCTGCTCAGTTTTCCATTAGATGCTGATCTCTGGACAAATATAAAACGGACAAGAAGCACATAAATGAGAGTTGTTGGCACAAAAGCACTGTTTCTCACACACAAACACACACAAAATAACAACCAAATAAGCTTATTTGAAACTTCCTAAATTTGTTTCAGTGCAGAGATACCCGGGATCCCTTGGCAGCTCTTTTCTGACGCACAAAGTCCATCAATGGTGTAACTATAGTAATGTCTTTTGCAGCACCTCCTAAAGAACAGAGACCAAAAAGATTATTAACAAAAAAACTGTTTGCATCTTCAGATTATGCATACTCTTAGTTTTAAATCTATTGTACATATTTTGTTACATTGAACTAACCAGATCGTTCTGCCTCCCTTCTCTCCAACTGTATCTCAGCACTAGGAAGATTCTCAACGGGCTTGGCAAGAACTTCAAGAAACTCCAGATACTCAGAATCTGATGTTCACCATTGAAACACTTCTAATTATCAGAAAGAAATGATTCCATTCATAAAAATTAAGCTATAGAACAAATATCAGTGCAAGGGACTTCATTCTTTGTCAGCAGTACCTTTGTCTATGGTTCCTTCACGGACATCCCTTTTTGACACCTGTTTTGGAACACGTTGTGAAGGAGCATACTCAACAATGACTTTGAACTGAGTTCCTGATACAGAAAAACTTATTCAATATCTGCTCTTAACCTTCAAGTTCATTTGAGAAAATGTACAATGCACAACAAATATAAGTCCGACTTGGTGTCTCAAATGGATATAAAATCCTCCCGTTCAAAGCAACCGAGGAGAAGCCATGTTTAGATCCATAAAACTTTAGACACAAAATAAGAGGTATCCCCATTCTGGAGATTGAAACTGAGATTACCAAAATGCATCCCCTTTGGAGCGGAAGGAGTTTCATTCCAGTTTTAATTTTATAAATAATAAAACATAATATCAGGTTTTATATGTCGTAATAATCATGATAGAAAATAAGGCAAGAAAGGTAAGTTGCCTAATCAGCCTCATCAAAAGATATAATTAATTACCTTTCTCATTCACAAAGACATGCCCATCAAAGAACTCAGCGAACTCTATAACATCCTCTGGCTTCTTGAAGTCAATGTAGGCTCTGGAATAAGATAGATGCTTCTGGCTGAAAATTCATTCAAAAAATTGGAAAAAAAAAAAATTAAAAGAATGCCTTTGACAGCTATTAATATCAATTATCTGATGGTGAAGCTTTATCCATTAATTACAACTCAGATCACAGCATGTAACCTTTAAAAGCAAAAAAGGCCCCGCAATTAAAGGTGTAAATGATTCACCCTATTTGTGAGCAAATTGGGTTCAGCTCCTTAAACACAAATTTGAGCATAAATGGTGATTTAGCTGATGCAGTACACCTGACCATGAAACCGACAAAACTCCAGCCGTAAAACCGATATCAATTTTTGTCTATATGTCCTTACACACCATACAAAAACATACTATTATCCGTTTCCAGTAATCTAGGTTGCTTCCCACCGCATTACCGTTACCGTTACCGTTATCGATGCGCCAAAAATACAAGACGGACAAATGACAGATAATAAGACAATGTCTAAGAGTCATCCCCCAATTATTTTACTCATCACCAGAGTCTACGTAAATATTAACAGAAAAGATTGACACAACACCATGGGCAGCCTTTTTCCCTAGCACTGGGCAGCTATTGCCATACCCCTTATGGGCAGCCATCGCTGTACACCTTATGGGCAGCCTTTTTCCCCAGCCCTGGGCAGCCATTGCTGTGCAGCCCTTAATCAACCAACTTTTGATGATATGAAGCGTCAGTGGCAAAGTTTGCACACTAACAAACCTATGAAAAAAATAAGCAAAAACTAAGACGTGCATTGCACCCACCAAAGAATTTCACTGATTCGCCAATAACAAGTTCACTCAACATCCATTCAAAAATATGGGAACACCTAAATTCGAATTTCAATAATCAATAAAACGCAAAAGAAATAAATAAAAACACAAAAAGATAAATCCTTGCAAGCTGCAAAACTGATAAAACACAAACCTAAACCCGCTTTTGCCAGAACGAAAGGAAACCCAATTGTAGCGGCCAGCGAAGGAGCCATCAATTTGGTCCAAAAGCGCAGCCTGAGAAATGGTAGGAGGCAAGTGCCGCAGCACGACCTTCGTCCGATCCAACGCACCCTTCATGCGAACAAAAAAATCCCACGAAACGAAAAACCCTAGCAGTCGACAGTTACTATAAAGATGTAAAAGGGAAGAAAAGCCGAAAACCTCAGTTAAATTACATCTTCTCCGCTCCTTCTTGGCATCAATCAAGAGAGTCCCAATGCCCTAATTTGGTTGAAAAAACCCCAAATTGCCATGAAAAGAGGTCCCGGAGTTCAAACGAAAGGGCAGTTGCGAGTGAAAGCATAAACGGTTGCGTTTTAAGCTTCCGTTTTGCATGCGAATATACGAGGTGGCCTTTTTGTCAAACTGCATATCTTTTCCCGACGTAATGCTCTAATAAATATTTTTTCCACAACACAGCACATGGCAACTTAGAAATTTTGTAAGAGACAATATTTATGTTTCAATATTTATTTAAATATGTTATGAATATTATATAGATGCCTATTTACCTCTTTCTCTTCAATTTCATCAAATAACTTCCACTATTTTTACTATGCATTACTCCTCTACTATTTATTTAATTTTGTAACTCACATCCGTTTACATTCAGAAGATTAATTATCCATTATTCGTTATTTAAGAATAAGTCTAATCTATATGTAAAACTATACCTATAAATAGGACATGTCATTCGTGTTGTGGAGCATGTGAAGAAATATAATAGTTTTCTTATTTTCTTGTCTTCATCTTTCTTTGCTCTACTTTGGTGGTTCCATTTTATAAGATCATGATAAACTGTGCAAAAATTTTGAAAAATAAAATATACTCATGAATAAGTTAAATATTGTGTTTAATCCATTTATGTTAAATATTAATAATTTTTCAAAATATTATGCATTTTTATGAAATATTTTTTAGAAAAAAATAAGTATTTAATTTAAATATATATTATAATATTTTACTAGTAACATATACAACTCTGAAAATATTTGAATGAAAATTTATATATTCACATTTTAATCTTTTTTTTTTTTTGCCAGACAGTTTTTAGATTTAGATTTAGATTATATGAAGGTTCACGCTCCGACAAGTTTAAAAAAAATTAAAAAACTAAAATTACATGAAAAGGGTTTTTTTTTACACATTTTATTTTTTTAAAAAAGTAAAGGGTACAACCAGTCGAAAAGACTAAAAAACAGTGAAATAATCTCCAAATCACATGCTCAACAATAAACAAGAGGTAAACAAGAAGAAACAACTAAGTCATCCAATTCCAGAACGGTTTTGCAAACCACCAGCAACCACAGTTTTCTTACTCCTTCCACTAACTAAATCATTACCTAAAATACTTTGAAGATGAGATGACATAGGTACTAGATAGTCTCTTGCCTAGCAACCAAGGAAAAGTAAATTTTTGGTTTCAGAACAATGAAGGATTTCTTAAAGAAATGAAATTATAATTGTCGTTTGGATAAATGATAAAAAGGCAATATTAGATTACTATTAAAAAATAATAAAAAAATTGTATACCAGCAAATTAATAGAGAAACAAAAGTAATTGGACAAATATTAGAATAAAAATACATTGTAATTAAATGAAATTGATTTTTTTGCCAGCAAAATGAAGTTGAATTTAACAGTAAAATATATCAGTATTATTTTACAATAATTCCAACTAAATTGAACTTTATTAGAGACTTTTGCGTGCATTACCAACTCTTGTCACACATAATTATACAGTAAATAAAATACATAATTACAATAAATTTTCAAAAACTCCATTTTTAGACTTAAGAAAAAGGATAAACAAATCAATTTAAAGTGAAAAATAGAAGCAAAGATGACAACCATTTGATTTTAATATTATATAAATGTAAATTTTGTTATATTTCGTAGTATTTATTTGAATTGAACTTTAAAATCCTTATTTCCAAGTTTGTAAAAATCATTTACGATAAATAAGTATGGATAATTGCCGGAATCAAATGTAAGTTTAGATATTTTGAGGGTGACCATGGAAGATCCAAAATGACAAAAATGAGAAGGGATTTCTTTTTATGTTTTAATTGAGAAAGGAATTGGAATCACCATATTAGAATATTCGGTTACTTTATAAGTGGAAGTCAAATCCATTGTGCTCAGTTTTATTCCACTACTAATGTTTTAGCACATAGTTATTAAAAAAAATATACATCACACTCATAGTTAAATCAAGTCAAATCAGGAAAAATCACTAATTCACGCGGAATTCTTACCTTTAAGCACGTAAATGGTAAACTTTCAAGAGTGATATCTCCTTATGTTGAATAAAATGTATAGTGATATCTTCTTGTATGCTAAATAAATTACAAAAATTAAATTTCAATTTATTACGCAAGAGGTCACACGGTAGTAACGATAATTTTAGATAATTTATGTCATATATTTTTATTTTACATTTTGTGTGCCAATTATTTGTCATTTTTTAAATAAATTACAAAAATTAGGTTTTAATTTTATTTCAAAATATTTAATGCTTTAGAAGTTCATTAAAATAACATAACATAGCAAAAAGGTTGTATTTTATTGCAGCCATCAAAATGGGCTGGCCCTCGCTTGAAAGGTTCAAGTATGAAAAGCCCATATATCATGAAAATATCATATTACTATCCAACCATTTTGAGATATTTAAAAATAAAACAATATCCCAAAATTTGCAACTCAAATTATGCATATTAGTGAAATAAAATGTTAAATTATTGTCCAAACTTCAAACAGTAACAAACTATCATCCAAATATGAAAAAGACCAAATTAAATAAAGCAGATAACGCATAGAGATAGAACCTAACAAAGCTTAACAGCATTATCAATAACATCAACATGATTATCATTTTTTATTACAATTATTAATATCAACAATACTTGATTGTCCTTTGGTCAAGTAGACTCTTATTTGATGACAAAAATATCAAGACTTTCGTCTTCATCATTAATATTTGATTGCCCACTAGATATGATATATGATTGTGATTGTGTGTGACTGGGTATTGAGAGTGAAACTATGCATCATTAGACGTGAATATGTGAGTAAATTGAAGATGCATCTAGGTTTCTTTCAATAGGGAGGCTCACTCAATATCACAACCTTAGCAAGTAGTCGTGATTAACAAATAATAGTGAAAGGCTGTTTTAATGATTTATTATATTTAAATAATTAAGAATAAGTGGGTTTAAACTTGTCGGCCTTTAATCCTAACGGGTTGACCTTTTTTATTTTTTAGTCATAAAGAGTTAGTGTTTTTAAATTTGATTTTTTTTTGTTGGCCCTCAATTGCTAAGAGGAGAGATGACCTTTTTTTCCCATAGCATTGAAATATGGTGAATGGGCAAATTCACCTATTGTAATATTGAAAAAGAGTATTAGGCACCATAATAAAATGTTAGGGATAAAAATGCACATAAACTTTTGAAAACGAAGAAAATGCTTATGCCACTGGCTCTTATGGACTATCGTTACTTTTTTTTTCCCTCTTCTAATCTCTGGACACTCAAGAAATGAAGAATTTTTTCCCTTCTAGTCTCTTGACACTCAAGAAGCAAAGAAATAGAGAAAGAGAAGCTCAATAACATGATGAGCTTGGGGTGGATTTCATTGTGCCAAAATTTAACTATTTTGCAACTTTCAGAAAGCTAGTCCTCATTATTTCATACATGTTTTCATTTTGACGTTAGAGATGGACAGAGACGCGAGTGTAATAAAGGGCAGTGTTGGAGATCAAGCAAGCATTAGGATCAAGAGAGGGATCAAATAATAGATGAGACAAGTAGTGAATAAGAGGATGGGCGCATTTGATGTTGATGAGGTAGGTGAGGCAGAGAGGATAGAAAGTGGAGGCTTCAGATTGGGATAATTCATCGAGGAATGGAACGAAGGTGAGGTAAGGATAGGCAGAAGGGTTAGGAGAGTTGAAGAGGGTTTTGGTGATGATGATAGAGAAGACACTATAGTCGAGGATGTGTGCGAGCTCCAGTAAGGGCAATGTGTCCCTGCAGCGGCAACAGGATCAGAACTAGGGAAAGCGCTTTCCCCACTCGCTCTATTTCTCAACACTTGTCTTTTCCTATTCCACAAAATTAGTAACTAAGAATCACAAAAGCGTAAACCAAAGTGATAGAACCCAATCTTTATATGGTTTTTTCAAGTGTTTTCTAATGTTTTGCAACACTTTTACTCTCATTATGCATGCATTTATATCCATTTAATTACATTGAGTCATGTATTGCATTTTGCTATTTAAGGGGTAAAAATGGATATTTTTCTTTCCTCAATTTTAATTGCCTTGATCTGCAATTAGTTGGTATTTACATAGATCTTTGTTGTAATTTCAGGCAATTGGAGAAGGACCTAAGAATCAAAATGGAGCATGGATGGAGCCAAAATGTTATAAGAACTAAAACACGAGTTTAGAGTGTATTGCCTCCCCAGGTCACGACATGGACTTTTGAGGTCGCCACCTGAATGCCCTTTCAATTAAACTACGCGTTTTGGACTTGAGTCAAGATGAAAACTCTTTGTCTTCCCAGGTCGTGACATGAAACTTATAAGGTCGCAACCTGAGTCTCCTAAGTCGCGACTTGAAACTCCTGAGGTCGCGACCTGAGTGTGTTTAGTGAAGCTGTGTGTTTTGGAATAGGTTTCTGAGTTTTTACACTTAAGGGGGGCAATCACCACGAACAAATACTCTCCCATTTTGTATATTTGCATTAGGTTGAGCCACCATCATCTCTTTTCAAGTCTCCATTGATCCTACACCCAAAACTTTCATTTTTCTTCATCTCTTCATTATTTTCTATATTTTTGAACTGATCAAACTACTCCAACCACCTTCTTCTCTATTTTTTTAGCCTCATTTTTAGCTTTAACCATGGTTGTTTATTCCTGGAGCGATTGCGAATGGTTTGAAAGCCTGGGTTTAGCCTCTTGGTGGTGGAGGACGAAGCTTGAGCTCAAAGACTTAATCGGAGAGTTTTTTTATAGTCTAAACCTATACTTAATGTTATGTTGAAAATTTCTAGATTTAGGAACTTTCTGCACTTGTAACAAACTTTGTTTATAATTTTAAATCTTGTGTTTAGACTATTCTATTGTATTTAGATTGGATGATGTTAATGTTGATTAATCTATATAATATTTCAGTTTGAATCCTTGTGTTCAGTTTGATTTTCAGTGATCATTGTTGATTAATCTGTATGCTTGGTATTTTGTGTTTGTCGATTGACATTCTGAGGGCATTTGCATCATCTTTCCATTTACACTCTAAGTGGTTTTTTAACAGTGTTTAAAGAGATGTTAATTAACTTTAATTAAAGTGAGTTTTCATTGATTAAGACATTGAATCCAAGTAATTACTTGGGGTTTTCTTCAAACTTAGAGGTTTCCTAGGACTCCCAATCATTTTAAAGAGCAGTGATAGCTGAGTTTTCATCATCAAGAGACTATTTACCATTATTCCCTTTTAATTCAAAACATTTCTTCATTCATTCAAAATACCAAAAACAGTTAATTTCCTGCACTTTTCATTTATTGCACCACCTTAAACATATGAAACCTCCTTTTTCTTCACCTAAATTTACAATGCTTTTGATAACCAATGTAGACTAGGATTTCCAATAACAAGCTCCTTGAGAAGAATGACTGATTGGATCCTATACTATATTTTTCTGATGCAATTCACTTTCTTGACAATCCGGAAGGCGACAATCCGACTTCGATCATGAAGTCAACTAAAATTTCTTCCTCTTGCAGATTTTAAATGGCCAATGCGAACTTAGATTTCTCTTTCACTTCAGTCATTTAGAATATCTTCTTAACCCTAATATTACACTAAAAGATGTAGCCACCGTCGACAAGTTAGGGGGGAAGGATGCATTCTGGAGGCTTTGTTTGTTCTAGATCATAGTCTTATCATCCTTATCGAGGATCTAGAGGAGGTGATTGGAGGAGTGATTTCAAGACACCATATGGGGGAAAAAAAGAGAGAGAAAAAGTAACAATCATCCATAAGAGTTGATGGCACTGGCATTTTTGCCCCTCACATTTTATTATGGTGTCTTGTACTTTTGTTTGATATTACAGTGAGTAAATTTGCCCCTTCATCCATTGAAATATTTCAATCACTGCTTCTCAATATCTCATGCTCATAATATATTTCCTATTATCTTAATTAATTAAAACATTTAATGCATTTAAAATCATTAAAACCAACTCAAATGAATTAGCATAATTTGGTTGTGAAGCACTATTAGATATTAAATGTGAACACCTCCTCTAATAAGTATTCAAATTTTAGTTCATTATGTTATGAAAAACTAGTTCTCCTAGAATGTAAATCATCTCTCTAGCTAAGCAAGTTTAAATGGGTAAGCCTAATGAGTTTGACCTATTTTAACAGTTTTACTTCCAATGACATCAATTTCCTTTTGATGTTAGTATTGAGCATGTTTAGATTAAGGATGAGAGAATAAATAATATGGGATAAAATTATAAATTGATTTATAATCACGATTTTAAGGCTAAATTTGATTTGATTATAATTGATTTATATGACTGATTTGGGTTGTAACTGACAAGTCAAACCCGTGATTTTTCTAAAAACTAAATATTCAAACTCTCCTTATACGTGCCAAAATTAATTTTGAACTTAAAATTATAATTATTCATAAGTAACTAAATGTTTAGGTTTGTTTGGATTGACATTTATAAAAATTATTTTTATCTCAATTGATTTTTACAAATTAAAAATGAAATAAAAATCAATTAATGTAATGTTTTGGATTTTACATTGAAAAAATCAGTTTCAAAAAGTTTAGATCTAAAAAAAAATTGCCTTAATTTTAAAGTTACTCTTAACAAAAAAATTATTTTCCCCACAAGTTATTTCAAACCTACTTTCACCCCACTTAATTTTTCCAATTCCAATAAACTTTTGAGCCCTCCGACTTCTATTTCAATCATGCACTAAAATTTAGTGCATGTTTGCATGCGGCTTGATGGATATTTCTTTTTAAGCAATGGAGGGGATAAGGACTAACTTCGATAACTTTGCGGAGCTGAATGGAAGTGATGCAAATTTTCAGACTACAAGGACTGCACTAAAAATTGATGCAAGTTAGAGGAACCAAGTAATAATTTTCCAAAATATTAATTGCGAAGTTTTTTGGAATGAAAAACCGAGGCCAAAGAAAAAAAGGTTCGGTTCACAGGACTGAGCGATAAAATAAAGCGATAAACAGTGGAAGAAGCGCCTACGTAAACATCGCTGTAAAAAGATTCATTACCTATGACGACTGTGTGATGATGCAGTGAATATATACAGCAGCGGCATCCCTAGTCTCCCTCTTTGGGTAGGGCTTTGCACACTCAGCACTTAACCCTCTTCTGTTTGTTCTACGGGGCAGAAGGAGGAAGTCTGAAGGCAGCCCAAGTCTTCAATAGTTGAATCTTCCTGCCCCATATTCGTCTTCTTTTACTTCCTTCCACGTTTGGTAAGTCTTCGCTCGGGCCTTGCTTGCATGCGACTGCTGTGTCAACAAATATCTATCTTTGTTTTTTTTCTTAACAAATTTACTGATGTGTTTCTGGGATTCTCCTTTTTGTGAATGGATTTGTGTTTTAGGTTTATGGGGTGTGTTGATATATGGGTGTTTTGCAGTTTTATGGTTTTATTTTCGTTTTTTTTTTTGTCACTGAGGTTTTGTTTGTTTTTAACTGATGAATATATAGCCTTGCTATGATGGGAGAGAGAATCCCACCCGGGAGCTATTTCCAGTATCCTCCTCCTGGAGTTCCCGCTTCCCCTATTAGGTCTTCCTCTATTCCTTCAGATCGAGAAAGGTAGTCCTACTTCTAATCTTGCCATCATTACCATCTACTGTCTCTACTGTCTCCTAGTTTCACTTATGGCTTGTCACTGATTTGGATATATTGTCAAACTTGAAACCTGTTGGTACTTTCTGACAATTGAGCCCTCTGACAGTGTTTGTTTCAGTTTTTCGATGTTACCCGGATGTCCTTAGTTTGGAATGCAATTTGCTTTCAATTTTTTTTTTGGGGCAGTCCTTACGCCCGTGTTTTCTTTTGAAAGCCTTCTTTTTTAGAATACATCAATAAATTCTCCTCCTTTTTGTCAAGCCTTATTCAAGATGTGTGTATGTTGCCGTTTCCAACAACAACAGAGGTCTTCAGATAAACATTGTTGTAAAATCCTGCATCTGGTTTATTTTTGGTTATACATGCATTATTCTTCTGCTTGAAATTTTAGTACACTTGTTTTCAATGATGACATGAGTGTCGAACATGTGAAATTAAAATTGAGGAGAAAGTGGGAAAAGCTTTTGTTTGTTATAGACTTGGGTGCCGTTGAGTACTGAGCTATTGAAATTTGGCACTTTTGCTGCATACAGTGAGATGGATTGTTTTGGGGGAGGAGGAATCAGAAAAGACATCATAATCGTATTTAGTTAGCCTTCTGCCTCCAGCAGATGAAGTCTAGTGCAGAACAAATGTGGGATTGGAAATCTGTAAATGTATAATTTAATTTGTGTTTTGAGCCAGTCTTATGGTTCTATTTCCAACTCACATGGAACAAGAACTTAAGTAGGAAACGTTAGTGGAAAAAATGCCAAAATCTAAAGTGTCACTTTATTATTAATGAACTCTGTAGGATCCTTCTGTCTAAATATCCCATTTATTGAGTGAAAAAGGTTTTGGTTTTTCATGGGCTGGGATATGCTAAAGCTATTTGGAAGGATTCTATGGTGTGTATCTAGAACTTGACTGTCAGTTTTATGGTCCTTAGGTTTATTTTTGACAATGAGGCTTACGTAGTTATGTTAATTGAAAGAAGGCCAGCAGCAATTATCACTTCGTTGCGAATGTCTCTAATACATTTAAGACTGATAAGTTAAGTGTAGCAGCACTAATTCATCTTGCTGATGCTATTGCTGAAAGATTCTATTTTTTGTCAAGTATAATGCTACTTTCCTGCTGGTGCATGCTGCCAGTTCTGGTGTGTAAATTGACTGTTGATAACTTGCAGATATCTTACTGAACTACTGGCAGAGAGGCAAAAATTAGGACCATTTGTGCAAGTCCTGCCACAATGTACCCGGCTTTTAAATCAAGGTTTAAAAATATTCCATTTATTGTAATAGCATAAATATCTTTGATATTTTAATCATAATTTTGCTGTTATTTTGATCTTATATTGCTCTTTTCCTTGTTTATGAATATCACAACTCTTAATAGATTTTTAATTTTTGGAAACAAAGAAGACTATCTTAATGGATAGAAACTTTCAATTTATTGGTACTTACTAGTTAAGATTGCCGGGGACAACCTTTCTGGTTGATGTTTAATGCAAATATCATAACTATTCCCACATGATATTTTGGTATCTGACATTATTAGTAACATTTAATAATTAATACTCCTTTCGTCCTTTTTTATAGAAAACAACTACTATTTCTACCTTGCCCCTATATATGAGAAACATTTACATGATATCTCAAATTTTCTTGACTATTTTCCTATTTTTCCCTCATTAATTACTTATTTTGATACTTAATATATTTATTATCTTATTTTTCAAAGCATCATTCATTCATCTCTTTCCATCACCCATTCTACTTCTTCCATAATTTTTTTATTTTAATAATCTCGTTATTCTCTCACTTATACTCTCTCCCCCTAAGTGGGGGTATTTTTAAGAAAAAACTTACCATTTCTACATATTTATTATCTTTAACCAAATTTAACGAACTTTTTGGTCTACATGATTTGGTCAAATGTTTCTTATAAGAAGGGATGGAGGGAGTAATGAGCAATTAGTGAAATATTTTCTATCAAGAAGATACTAAACGCAGGTGTTGATTATAACTTAGCATTCTGTACTGCCACTGCCCCCCCCCCCTTCTTTTCTTCTGTTTTTTTTTTCCCCCTTCCTGGCCTTTCTTTCTGTAGCCTGGATAACTTCTGTAAGAAGGAGCTGCATCTGCCATGTTTATTTTCTGAAAGTTTTATAGTTCTCTTGGTACACTTTTCTGATTCGTGATTTGAGGTAATGGCAGAAATCAGACGAGTGTCAGGCTTCAATCAAGGTTTTACAGATCATGAGCGTCTTGAGCCAGACAGTCCATTTAGGTCCTTAGGTCAGCATCCCAATGGCAGACCAATGGATTTGGAGGGATGGCCGGCTGTACCAGTAGAGGTAATGATACATCGTATCTGTGAGTGTTTGGTAATTCTTATCCAATGAGTCATGGATTTTTTTTTTTTTTGGTAATAAATTGATATCTGGTGCTCATTGTAAATAGATTTCTCTTTGATCTCTGTTGACTTTTTTCATATTCGTTTGATATGATATCTTCACTTATGGTTAGACATTGATTTGCATGTTGTAAAGAAGCCTCCAGAATATTGAACTGGTTTTATTTCACTGAAGTGAACTCATAGCACGATGGTACCTCTGAAATATGATGTACATGTCACTAACTATGGGCTAGGGCCTAGGTCCGCTAACCTAACGCATATCTTATATTCTAACACACGCAATCGTCTTGGAAAAATTTGGCTGTCATTCAACCATAGTACACTGCAACCTTGGTGGTAGTTGAATTGAAGTCCCTCAGGTCTTAAAGAAGAGCATGTACTTCAAGTGGTGGGGCACATAAGACTTTAAATTCTATTATCATGTAATTGAAGGAAGGTTTTTCTTTTCTTTAGTTTTTAATTATTGTTTCCGATATGACGTGAATGGTGTCTTTTTCTGTCTTCTTTTTACCTGACTCCTGTACCTGTTTTAACGTAGTATATTTTAGCCATCATTAGTTAGTACATGAAATGAAGTTTGCACTCCTTAATCTTCAACCGTGAGCTGATGGGCTATGACTCAGCCTGTTTCCAAATTTCATCTGAAACATCATTTTATTGATTTTGGTTATTATTCAGTTAGCCTTCCACAGAAAGCAATTTCAAAACTTGTTACTGATATCTCATTTGCCCGCTAAATATTTACACCCAAGCATCCTTAGTGAACATTGCTCCAGCCAAGAATGCTGGATGGCTGCAGTTTTTATGCGAATATTAACGGCAAAAATATCTGTGGTGGACTGGCAGCAGCGAATTAACCTTAACAGCATATTGATTACCATGATAGAACTTTCATGTGGGAAATAAATCTAGCCTAAAATTGGATGAGACCATACAGGTGATTGTTGTTTTGGCTCATTCATTCTTGGATATTTACAAATAGCTCTCATTCTTCTTTCATGGAACTTACGAAATATGGCCAGTGGAGACAGCTTGGTTCCAGATTTCAATCCTGCCATCAGTGATGAAGGTTTTCAATTAGTTTGATCTTGTACAAAATTTTCAACAGTCATCATTGCATAGCAGATGTGATGTCACTTATATAGGATTCACCAAATTTACAGAAGGCCATATCTCCCGGGTAACTTTGTATTTCCGAATATTTACAGAAGGCTTTCCAATGAGAATTTTACTGTGAGTATTGAGGCAGAGTTTCTATCATATTTTAAATGAGCAACATCTTGCGTGCATTTAAGTGCACTCATGCAACTTGATTTTGAGAACATATCGTTTAGTTGCTTTACTTTTTTAATGGGGGTTTGTTGCCTAACCCATGGGACTACGAAGTATATTCAAGTGACTCAATTATGTGGCTCACGGTTCTTTTTATAGTTCCAATCCAAAATCTCGAGGGTTAAGTGTTCTGTTTTAAAAGCTTTTATGTCAGTTGCAAGGCAGCAAAAATTAGACAGTTGTGTGGTGGGCAACCAAGTGGTTCATGAGATGAGATGAACGTAGTTTATCTAGTCGTTCATTCTGCTAATTGATGAGGCTGAGACACAGGAACTTGCATATGAAGTTTTATTGGATATATTGATTTCTACTTCTATGATGGTTATATTTTGTTATCATGGGTAAGAGTTTTACTTTTAGTTTGTTTTGTTCTGCTTCCAAGGATCTTGTAATCAAAATTTTCAGTGCTGTACACGGACTTGTTTGAAACCAGAGACCTTGAAAGATGCATGTTGAATTGTTGAATGCTTTGGTGCTAATAATTGAGTTGTGTACTGTGGTGGGTAGTTCAAGTAGTGGAGACATGTTGGGAGAACGTTGAGGCAAATACTCATGGGAAGTACATTGAAAACCTTTTTCTAAAATAAAAAGGTTTTCTTCCACTGATTTTGGGGAGATTCTTTGTTCAACTTTTCCTCAATTTCTCCTTTTCATTGGAAGAAGAGGGAACTATTGGAAGTGTGGTCATGATTAGTGTGAATTGTGGAGATCAAAAGTTCTGAGTTGTGCCTTTATTTGTGCATTCGTTTACTTGCCCTGACGGGGCATTGTCTTCACCATTGTTGACCTTTGTTGGACTGCCGTACTAAGGAGGTTCTACCTCCATCAGAACAAGTTGATGCTGCTGTTGTTGTAAGTTGGCATCCTGCATATTGAAGGCTTGAGAAATATGGAGGGAAAAGGCAGGATTGTGAGAGAGAAGAGGGTTGTGGGGGTTGATGGTAGCCAGAGACAACTTATGAGAGGATGTGATGAAGAGGCAACCAGGGTCTCCTAAATGATAGATATGCTGAAATAATACATACGCACACATACACAATTTTATAAACATATAAAATATAAAATTATATTAAAAAATACTCCTCTAGTCCTTAGTGTAAGACTTATTTAACTAAGTTGATTAGATTAAGGAAGTTAAATAAGTTAGCTAATTATAAAAAATATGACATGTTTTTCTAAAATACCATAGTCATCTTCCTTAATATCTTTCCCTTCTCTTCTACTTGATTATAGTTGAAGGAGTATTTATAGGGATAATCTAGGGAAAATTGATGAATATGAGAAATAAGTCTTATATTTAGAACTGAAATCAACTCAACAATTAGGTCCTATATTAAGGACCAGAGGAGTACTAATAATATTAATTTCACACAGGTCTTGCTTAAAATCCAAAGCAGGCTTGATCATGTCTGCTTTTATCTGTTTTATTGGGGCTAGGCTGACTGGATCAAGCAAGTGTTTTGGCCCTTGATCAGGTCTGCTGAGGAAGATGTTAAGGTGGTTTAGTTTATGTTTTTGACTCAATGTTGTATGTTTTCTTCAAAAAGGATATTGACTTAAGAAACTGTAGGATTTGTATTTGTAAGCTCAAGAGCAAATGGCATGATTTTTAGGAATTTCATAGTCTTTTGCTTTTAGTGCAATGTGTACACCCCTAATAAAGGGTCAATAACTTCTGTGGTCATGGCATAGATGTTAGCTGAGGTAGGGGCTGAAGGTGAATATTGTACATGCCATATTTCCTCTATGCTGTTGCTCTCCGTAGTTTTGCAACAATGCTTATAACTTAGTCATGGACGTAATGAAAATTTTAGTTAAATTGAGGAAACTTGGTGTAATAAGAGTTTCAGATGTGCACACTATTTGTGGCTGTATAAAGGGCATTCTCATTAATGCCAAATGTCGTCATGTAGGACAATGGACATTTCCAAAGAATGGCATCTTTTCAAGCACCCCCAGTGGGTTGGCCTCCTTCTCAAGGGATTCCAACTACCCCTGCAGTGAAAAGAGTCATCCGACTTGATGTACCTGTTGACAAATATCCAAATGTAAGTAAAACTTCTTGCTCTTGGACTGCAGTTGATGTCAAGTTTTCTATTTCAATGTACTGTGGTTTTGACTCAAACCTTGGCAGTATAATTTTGTTGGCCGAATTCTGGGACCTCGTGGGAACTCATTGAAAAGGGTTGAAGCCATGACTGAATGTAGGGTTTACATCAGAGGTTGTGGCTCCGTGAAGGACTCTATCAAGGTGAATAATTATGCAGTATAGACTCCCTGAAGAATTGTGTTCTGACTTGATATATCTTTTTCAATTATGACTTTTTGATTTTAACACTTCCTAATTGTGGTGCTGGTTGAAATGGACTGGTTTATCTCACGGACACGAAAAACAAATCCCCCCCCCCCCCCAAAAAAAAAAAGCCTGAACAAATATGATTTTTTTTTTTTAAATTTCCTAGACTCTCTTATGGAGCTTGAGTTTTCATTGTAGGAAGAGAAGCTTAAGGATAAACCTGGATATGAGCACCTTAAAGAGCCATTGCATGTGTTGGTGGAGGCAGAGTTTCCAGAAGACATTATCAATTCACGATTGGAACATGCCGTGGCAATACTTGAAAATCTTTTGAAGCCTGTGGTATTGATATATCATTTTTCATTTTAGTTTCACATCAATTGGGCATCTTTTTCTGTTCAAGTCATTAGTTTTTGTTAACATGCCAGGATGAATCTCTTGATCACTATAAGAAGCAGCAATTAAGGGAGTTAGCTATGCTGAATGGTACTTTGAGGGAAGAAAGCCCAAGCATGAGCCCAAGTATGAGTCCAAGCATGTCACCCTTTAACAGTACAGGAATGAAACGAGCCAAGACAGGAAGATGACCCTGATACGTTGACAGTGGTTCATATCTATATTAATAGATATATAATTATTCTCAAGCTAAGTTATCTACCTCTGGTCTGTTTAAAAGGCATCATGGCCTTTTCACTGATATAGCTGACCTGAGTCACCGGGGGGCAGAATCTTCACAAGCAGCTAGTTGGGATGCCACGGTTTTGGCACTGATTTGTTCGACATGTCTGATCGGGATGGGTTATTTACTTCATTCATTCTGTCTAGTAGGCTTTGAATGATGTCTATTCTTTGGTGTGTTGGTGACCCCTGGAACATTGACTGTCAGTTCACTTGTTATAGCAGTAACTAGAATTCAGGTGCTACAGAGTAGCATTACTCCTAATGTAATAGAAGATTCTTTACACTTGTCAGAACATTAGATTACATGCATATGTATAGATATGCGTGGTATTGAGCCTAAAATAAATTGAGTAGAATGCTCTTGATTGTAATGTTGCGTGAACATTTTGACAACATTGTTGTTATTTCAAGTTAGCAAGTGGATTTGGTGAGTTCTGTATCTTGGGATTTCAAGTGGAACTATAAAGACAATAAGCCATCAATTGTCAGATGTTTGCCATGCCATAGCTTGTGGTGGTATGAACTGTAAATATCGCATTTATTTTTTGGTGTGCTGGTTTTGTTCGAAGTTTGCAGGTTATCATACTTGTCACTACACTTTCTGAATTGGTGTGGTTGAAAGACGCTTACTTTTAAGCCTTTTTGGCATGCTACTGTAAATTGATGCGGTTCTGTTCTAATACTTGTAATGAATAGATGATTGTGTAGTTGGCTGGAAAAAGGTTTTTAGAGTTGTACCATGTTTATTTTAATTTAGTATTGGTCTGGTAGTGAACATGAGCATGTAAATTTTACGGTGGTAAGTAAAGTTTATTCTAAATGTGATGATTAGCATATATAATAAATCATCAATAAATCCTGTGTAATGAGTCTGTAGAAATCTGTCCACAACTAGTTTCATCTCTGTTTTAACGTTTCTTATAACTATTTCAATTAGGAGGGAACAAACACTGGTAATTAATTAATCAATTCAAATTGCAAAATGATTTTTTTTTTTTTTTGGGTTGCCTTCAGCCAAAATTACGAAGGAGTTGAATAACCCCCGGAAGAAAAAATTTATGTGAATTGTGTCATACATGACATTTAATCGTATTATACATGAATATTTTTGAAAACAGAATGTATTTATTTCTGCGTCCCTGCGTGCATTTGAAGGCAGATCGCTTGTGCATTGCATACCCTTTCGCGTTATCATACGGAGTATCATTTTCAGTTGGCCAAGAAGAACACGAAAAGGGTCGTTGGCAAAAAGAAAAGATAAGATAAGAAAAGGGTCATTGGCCCAAAAAAAAAAAAAAAGAGGAGGAAAAGAAAAGGGTCATTTCCATCCGAGTCACTTCTATGATTAAATTTGCAATCTCACATGTCCATGCATTGAAAAGGAAAGAAACAAAGAAAAATACAAAAGAGGAAGATGTTTGTGGAAGATCTTATAATGAAAACTAGATAAATTGCTTTGCATATTTAAGTATGTTATATTACACTGTAAAAATATTTATTCTATTATGATCTCATTAAGAAGTTTACGTCTCATCAATGAAGCTGGAAGTCTCACAAGAGCTTGCACAGCTTTTTTTCCTGAAATAATAATAATAATAATAATAATAAAGAATTGTGAACATATCAAAATACTAATCAATATTCGCAATGTTAGAAAGCTATCCTACCTATTCGCACGTGGTGAACGTAATTTACTTTGAGTTTCACAAACTGTGTCGTGACCAGCAGTGTGGTGACCGGCAATGGTGGTGATAGGTGGCGGCGATGACACAGGAGAGGAAACGCATTTTCCAGATAGGGGTAAAAAAGTAATTTCACTTTTATTCATAATTATTTCAAGGGAAAATTCCATAAAAAGAACCTAAAATTAGTGTTTTTCAATTTAACACCTAACATTTCAAAATGACAAAAAAAGAAGTAAACCTAAATTAGAATTTTGAAATTCAAGAGAAATAACAAAAATGCCTCTTTTTTAATCCTATTGAAAAAATGTGTTATTAATCCCAAATCAAAACATGTTTTATAATCAGAACTTGTTATTTTCAAATGAATTTTCATTTTTAATTGACTCACATGTTATTTCACATGTTTGCATAGAAAAAAAATGCAATGTTAATCCCAAATCGAGACTTGTAATTTCACAATCTGAACATGTTATTTTTAAATAAATTATTATCATTTTTAATTGATTTATATGTTATTTCACGTTATGTACAAAAAAAAATATGTTATTAATTTCAAATCAAAACTTATTATTTTAAAATTAAAACTTGTTATTTCTAAATAAATTGTCATTCACAAATAATATTTTTGTCACTTCTCTCAAATTTTAAAATTTTAATTTAGATCTACTTCTTTCTCAGTTATTTTGAAGGGTTAAATGCTTAAATCAGAATATCATAATTTCAGTTTTTTTTGGTTGAAATTTTTCCTTATTTTTTCAAATTTTTCAATGAAGTTATTTTTTTTTAAATTTTAAATATCATGCCAAACTGATTCATGACGAGATGATTATTATCACTTTGTTACATTCCATTCAATCCCCTTTCATTTTTTGTGAACCAAAGCAGCCCTTCATCATTACTACGTGGTCATTTGCACAGTAGCGTGTGGAGTAAACATGAATTCTGTCTTCTACTTTTTTTCCAAATGGGAATAATACAATACTGTCTCCATAACCTTCACATACGGGTAGCTGTGAGAGTCGCGATGAAATAATTAAAGGAACAGGAATGGATGATTAAGTGTCAAGTTTCCTTATTGTAAAATCGTTTTTTCTTTGGGCATAGCTTCCAAATTAGATTAGCTTAAAATATAAAGAAACAAGGACGGTGGCAGGCTAGTTTTAAAAATTCTTGGTGCCTCTGTTTAACAAGTCCAAAACAAGCAGGATTTTCAATGAAACATCTCCATTCCCATCCATTATTTCCAGGCAAACATACCCTTAAGTTGGAACTTTTTAAGTGCTATTCAGTGATTGGAAACACAGATGCTGCGCCCACTTTATGAAGATCCTCTTCATTCACTTCACCCAGAATGATAAAGGCTAAAAGGGCTACGGTTGCCCCTAAAATATAACAAATGACAAGATGACATTCATAGAAATCATATACTACTTCTAATCCTAATTATAAGAGTCAGTTGACTAATTTGAGAAGATTAAGAAAGTAAGTTGAGTTAGTTATTTATCATAAATAGGTGTTGTCTTTTCTAAAATATCCTTACTAATCAATTATATTGACTAGAACTCTTATTATTCGAAGGGCTACTTAGAAAAAAAAATATAAAGATGAGACACAAAGTGGATTGGGTCTTATATTTAGAACCAAAATAAAAATCAAACGGGGTTTTATATTAAGGATCGGAGGTAGTATTGCTTTTCAACATGTCAAGACTGAATTTCAATTTAACACATGAACATACCTGAGATGTATCACAAACTCCGAGTAACCATTTCCAATTACGTCTTACAATGTTGGGCTTCCTTACCAAACCGTATAAGAAATTAAATAACATATATCTATCTATGAAAAAATCATTGAATATCATTACAAACTTTTCAAATCCTAACCTCATCATGGAACACACTATCCATCTTGACTACGCAAGAAGCAAAATTTTCAAATGAGCACAACCACCAACACCTGCACGTAAAGAAAATGGAAATTGATATGGCATAATTATCAAATGGATACATCATCCAAAAGAACCCAAAAATTAAAAAAAATCATGATTCAAGTGTTAGCAGATATTGCATCTTTGCGGACTTTATCCTGATTAGAGAATTCAGTGTCAACATGAAGTAAAAGGAGAACATTAATATCATGAAAAGGTAACTTTGTACAGTAGAGGCAATTGATGTTCATTAGTGAAAAGGTTTGTCGGCTGCATAGATTGGTTATGGATAGCAAAAAGCTTGATGTAGGTTCAGAATTTTTTTCTTACGGTCCAACGATGTAATTTTAGAGGTTAGTTAGTTCATCAAATACCAAAGGAAGAATTCCAGGTTTGCATTTTTTTATTTTTTATTTTTAATGATTGGAAGATTTTTCTATCGGTTCGCCAATGGCTAGCCAAGCAATGAAACTAAAGAAAGTACGCATGGTCTTCATGTTCCAGTCAGCAGGGAAAACAAAAAGTTAAACTATGAATGAAGACCAACCTCAAATACAATCATCGCAAGATTTTGAACTTCAGAGGTCACTCCCTGATGCCAAGCTCAAGCTCTAACTCATCATCCTCTTCAAACAATTTCAAAAGGCGAGCATATTGCTCTTCTCTTTTCTTCTTCTGCCACAACTTAAACAGGCAAAAAAAGAACAGCAAAACTACCACAAGTGCGATCACTATAATGGCAACCGTAGAACCCTTTCTTTTAGGCTTATCATTGGCACCAGATGAATCATCAGAAACGCCTGAAGAAAAAAATACCCTAGAAATCAGATGGTGCGGATCTGCACAAGTCTGAGAGAAAGAAAAAGCGCAAAGGATTTGACTGAAGAGCATAACCATAGTTCTCACACCAACTAACGTGAAGGAAAATACAAACTGAAATTTAACATAATCAGTGCAATCTGAAAGTAGTACAAGTTTTCAACCCATGTAGTGGAACATGATCAAGAAATAATAATCACGTCCGCAAATAAGGTCCACCACTGAAGTTATAATCGGGAAAGAGTCAATGTCCTAAAATTATGCCGGGGTGCTTATTGCTAAAGCCTAAAATAATACACATATCAAGCATATCAAGTAGGAGTTCGAGCTTCAGCAGTCATAGAATGATTTAAAGCTTCAAAATTTTGCCTTTTAAGAAGCATGTACTTTGATTACATCGAATACTAAGAAAAACAATTCGTCCAAATAACAGATAAACACAAGACAAACCAAATTCATCCATCAAAATTTTGTACACGGCCAATCAAGTAGCCTATTTTGCACAACCAGAGGTGGGTTATAGATGCCATCATCCAAAAGCACGAAATCACTGTCGACAGTCATCGGCATCATAGTTTCATTTATACATTTCCAGTCTTTCTTAGATATAAGAAAACGGCCAGAAAATTTCTCAAAAAGCAACTGAAAATATTGGCACAGCTTATGCATCTATTAAAAGGAAATTAACTAGCCCTAAGAACTACAGTGAATATGAATTTTGATCAATAAACACGGACATAAAACAGAGAAGCAACATGCCAACCCAAATAAAGCTACAAATCAAATGAATATCGAGTCAAATCAAACGAAAAGCTCAAGAATTGCGATAAAAAAACGAGCAGAGATGGGGGGGCAAACCTAGGATGAATTGTAAGGAGCACGAAAGGAAAAATATGAAGAAATTGAGCGATCTGCTTCGGGAAATTGCACTCATTTCTGCGCGTCTGGAGAGATCGCGGACTTTGAGCAACGCGTCAATGGATTTCTCAAAGCTCTCTCAAATTCGATAAAAATTTATTTTGACAATTTGTTTACTCGTTTTTGATGTTTGGCTCGGTGGACCCCATTCTCTTGTTTTTTGTTTTTGTTTTTTGACCGGAAGACCCCCATTCTCTTGTTTACTAGTCTGGAAAGAAACGCAGAAAAACTTTTACGAGAATTATATTTTATTTTATATCATTCTGTGAGAATTAATTACATAAACTGAAATAGGGTAGAAAATAAATAATTTACATAAAAAAGTATTTTAAAATTATTAGATAAAATTAATACGAAATATTATTATGTATTTTACATTTTAGCTTTTATTTTTTATTTTTTATTAAATCTCTCGGTGGAAAGTCATTAGATCATAAGTATTCAGGTAAAAAAACAATATCCCAATATCAATATCATTAAATACAATTATTAAAAATTGTAAGAAATCCTAACATAAATAAATATTTTTTAAAAAGAAATCGATGCAAATGATTAAATAAACCCGCCAAATCTAGTCTGATTAACTCTTTCTGATCATCAAACTTTTGATATCTTTAGCTTGTTTAACTTTTATTATGTTAAAAACTTATAATCATGTATAATTCTTCCGGGTTGAACAAAAAATAACACTACAAAAACTAATTGTATCCGATTATGAGATTTTAAACTTTTATTAATAAAATTAAATTAAATTTCAGAAACCAAATCCATAAGTAAGGTGGATGGACTAAAATTTATTATTCTTTTTATACCACAAGTTTCATTGTATTCCTTTTTTTGAAAAAAAATTACAAGACAAGCTGATTTAAATATCTTGTTAACGAAACAAAATAAATAGCTTGTCTTAAATATCCTGTTAACAAAACGTCTCAAACTCTATTTTCAAACCGCCAAAAAAGGATTATAATATCATGCGTTACGCAAAATCCCTAAAATAAATCACTATAAATTATAATTATAAATAATGCAATTATTTGCTCGTTTGTGTTTATTGATTGATATGTAATTGCTTTAAAAGCCGTATGTTTGAATAACCATGTAAATAATTTTAAAACTGGCTACAAACGTCCAATCCATGTCATAATAAATTATAAACCTCCCTAAATCTAGTTTTTTTTCATTGAAAAAAAAAACCTTTTTTTTTCGTATCCTTTTATTTTTCTCAATAAAAATGAACCTTTCGATATTATTTAGACGAATTACGAGTCCGTAAAACACGCCACGGTGAACACTAAAAGACGTCGTCGATTTATTTATTTTGGTAACAAATAGGGTGAGAGATGCAATGTGCAAAGCCGCCATGCAGAAGATTCTGCCAGCATGAGCCACTTCCCGAAATTTTCAGGATAGTGACAATAGGTTTTGTACAGCAAAGGCTTTTCTTTTACTTTCCTTTTATAAAAGGGGGAAATTATCTTTACTAACTACAGTGGATTCAGATTTATATTTAGAATTTATAAGTTCTTGTTAACCTCATTGTATCCCTGCAGTCAAAATTGTAGTAATTGCAATATCAAGCAGTTGAATAACACTGTTTCTCAAGCTAAGTACAGCCAAGGATTCGCTTTTAACTGGAAAACGAAATAATTAATTCTACCAAAGTCAAGGAAACATGACAAAAACATACCCTTTCAACAAGGGATTGGTGGTTCACTTGAAGCATTTGGCATCCAGAAGAGGCTGTCCCTCAAAAGGCTCATAATCTTCAATCATCTGATTGACACGCTCCTTTTGAGCTTCATCTGATATGTCAACCTTAGTCCATTCGTAGAGCTCCATGTCATAGCACTCATCAATCACAAATTGGGGGATTTCTTGCCCACGGAATAGCCATAATCCCTTCACCTTGAATGGTGGTTCTGAACCGATCACAAGCATCTTCCCAAATGCATACTTGCGGGCCAGATCCATCCTCTGAAGAAATCCACCAACCTTGTTCATGGTCACAAAGGAAACAGTATTCTCATTGTTGTATTTGTAATCACAGAACCAAAGAGAGTATCCCTCAGGATCATACATGTCCCAAAATCCTGCAACAAGGATAACATTAGATCTTACAAATAATATTGCACCTTAGTGTCTCTAGAACTAGGCAGCTTATATTAGAAATTTTGAAACATAGCTAAACTTGTATGTTTAATAGCATTAAATTTGTTAAATAGAGTTCATACCTTTGATTGCAACCTCACGGAAGTTGGTTTTAGTGTTTGAGTAGAGTCTTTTCCACTCATCCAATATCATCTTACTTGGAGGAAGGAGGTCAAGGGGATTCTTGGGTTTGGGCTTTGGCGCCTCCTCTTCTGCATCTGCAGGTTTTTCTGCTTTTGGAGCCTCTTTCTTGGTCTCTTTCTTTGGTTCATCCTTTCCCTTCTGTTTAGCCGATTCTTTGGTCTGAGAAGGCTTCTTTGCAGATTGAATAGGAGGAACAGCTTCAGTCTGCTTGACCTCGCCTAAAATTTTTTTGAATTTTGGCTGGTTGACCAAGGTCCAGAAGTATCTCTCAACATGAGGAAACTCTGAGGTGAAGCTCTTGGTCATGAGACAATTGAAACCAAAAAACAAATTGCATGTCATGATGATGTCAGCCAGGGTCACAGAATGACCAACCAGGTAAGTATTTGAGGCAAGGTGAGTGTTCAAAGCACCCAATGCTCTTTTCAATGCAGAAATTGCAGCCTCCTCAACCTTCATCCAGAAACGTTAAGAGATTAGGCAAATAAAATACCTGGGCAGCACAAAATTAAAGGAGATAACCCAAAAAGGGGGGGGGGCTTGAAAACACAAACCACCATTTTCATGTCAACAATAAGAATGAACATGAGAATTCATCATTTAGCTGTAACATTTCTACAGCACAGCTAACTATCCCTATAATTTCAACAGCACACTTAACTACACTTGTGTATTCAGTGCTGAGCTGAAGTTCGTTGGTGAATAAATTTTACAAGGATTTTCCACAGGATAACAGGAACTGTTGAAAAGTATAATGACACGTGGATTATATAATGGAATTAAAACCAATTCCTAAGAATACAGACTTCATAACATATTCTGAGGCAAATAAACAGAGCGAAACTATTAACAGTAACACAACCTACCGGGGCAAGGTATGGAGTATATCCCATTCTTGGTATGAACCAAATTCGAAGATTAGCATCAATCTCCAATGAAGAAAAATCAATCCATTGTTCGATGTGACCCTGATTCATTAAGATAAATGATCAGATATAAGCAAAAATGCACTTAGTGATGCATGCAACATCATTCTAGAACTAGAGGTCTTCTGCACACTTCATAAGAGGGTGGGATACAACAGAGACCCCAACAAGTGAATGATGGAAAAGAATTAGAGAAGCTTACATAATCAATGGGAGAGCATCCGAATAGAGGACTGTCAGCCTTCAAGCGAGCAACTGCAGCAAAAAAAAATATATATATATATATATATATAGACATAAACTAACACTATTAAAAAGTTGAAAGAATGTACAGTGAATGAAATCATACCATAGCGTGCAATTGCATTGCTCTCAAATATCGGACCATCTGGGGTTTCCAAAACAGGAACCTGTAAAGATAATGCATCTCAAATTCTCAAATAAGTTCAAGCTAAAGTAAAAAATTTCTTTATTGCAGAGAGAAATACAAGTAGCATGCCTTGCCAATAGGGTTCATCTTCAGAAACTCAGGAGTTTTATTAGAGACACCCATCTCAAAATCTTCGGACACTTTAAGTTGCACACCCACATACTCTGCTGCAATAAGTGCCTTATAACCATTTTTGCTTGTGTTCCTCCCAGGGTACAGGATCTGGGCATAAACAACAAAATAAACAACAGGCAGAGATTCATTAAAAAGTTTAGCCATCAAAGTTCCAAAACAAGCCAATATTAGTTTGCAACGAAGAAAAGTGATACTATGCAACTCCTACAAGAAATTGGTGGCAAAATTATTAAGCATGTGAAGATGAGTAATTCCTCGATTGTTGGATGGAAATGAAGAGTAAGAAATGCAAAAACACCTTATTTACCTCTATCCCCTTTCTTTTATTGTAAATATATTCATGTAGGTGGAGCCAAAAAGGGTCATTTGATAGCTTATCCACATATGAATGCTTACTCTTCTTTGATGAAACTAAGTATTGGAAGGAAAACGCATCCTTTACATTGCGTGACACCAACACGTGAAGGTGTATTGTTTACTTTCCATTATTTTTCCAAACGTTCCCGAGAGATAGAGAACCAAATCAGCGTTAATTCCATAACAGATTGAAATTACAATGCATCACGGTTCACCCGGCTTTAAACAACATAGTAAAGTATATCCCAGAGCACGAATATACAAGCATGCTGATGCACTTATACAAGCATGCAAGAAACCCTCCATATTCCCGACAGAGTTCAATTGATGTAATTTCCCCATGATCATCTCATTGTTTGTGTCCCAGAGAAATTATTAGAATTGAATGAAATTTACCAGCGCCATGGCTTCACGGGAAAACGTACCGCTCCTCCTCTAATTCAAGATCTGATCACCAAAGCCACGAGGAAAAAAAAAAAAAAAAAAACCGATCAATCTACAAAAGCAACTTGGCAACAGAAAAATGACTTTTTTTTTCCAGTCTCATTCAGAAAATAAGCGAAAAGAACAAAATTCAACTCGTATATAGACCTTATTCTTTTTCAATGAAAACGAACACAGTATACACAGCAAGCCAGTCATCAGAAATGAACAGATAGTAAGATTAGGAAACTAGAGAGATCTTACAATGCGAACGTTCTCCTGAAGCACAAGCGCAGCAACTGTGTGAAGGAAGCAAGAGCAAGACAACGCAAGTATAATACGGCAAGCTAGGGTTTTTGATCGTAAAGGGAGTGGGAGAAGGCAGAACGGTGGCCTCACGTGGTTTTATTCCGTTGCTTAGTGGGCGAGTGGGGGAGAAATGATTTTTTACGTTTAAAAACGAAAGCGAAAAAATGGATGTTGAAATTAGAACAAAGAAATTTAATATAGTTTTATTTTACTATTTGTCACAATATGTCTGAAATATTATTTCAGCCAATTTCTATATTTGAAGTTAAAAAAAATATTAAACAAATAAATGTATATAATTTAAAATTCTAAAAATATGACTAGAAATGTTAAAATTTTAACAAACCAAATTTACATTAAATACGGATTGTTTTGTTCCAAACTTCTGACGTAATGATGGTTGGGTCAAAGGAATGAAAGAAAGTTTGTTTTCCGTAATTGTGATTTTAAGGTAAAGGTTAAAAAAAAATATTGATCTTATGAGATTTGTGTGGATTTTAAAAATAGAAAAGAGATTTTTCATAATTAAGTTAAATTGGAGGTGAGATCAGTGCATTTTACTCATTTTAAATTAATAATAAAAAGTATAATACTTAAATTCCTTATATTAATTACGTCAAGTTATTTAATTACACGTAACTGTGAACCTTATTTTTAAAATGTTAGTATTTAATAATATTTAATTATAAATTCACATCAATAAAAAAACACATAGTCATACATAATTGAAGAACATGACATAATGCGTATAAAAAAATTTAATGTAAGTTTTTTCCTAATGAAAATGTCAAATATTACGCAAATTTGCCCAAAAAAAAAACCACATCACATCCAAATAATTCTACTTTCGAAATAATTCCAGTCTTATTTGAATAGAAGGGATCAAGTGATTTTATGATACCAAATGGAAGGTTTGGTTAGAGTGGAAAAAACAATTCGATTTCTTGTCACGAGAGCTTGATTGGCTTTTGTAACCCCAAAATCACATCAAGAGGCAATTTGAGTCCAAAAATTCTGATTGGATAGGCATTAAAGCCAAAAGATTTAGATGGATAATCAAACTAGCTTTTTATAAGAACATGTACAAACATAAATATAGTTGACATAAAAACCACATTTACAAAGGTTTAATCCATGCCAGTGGTTAGCTTTTCTTTGCTGTCTTCATTGAAACTTTGAATTATTTAGATAGCTTTTAATGAGACAAAATAATTTTCATTTTTTAAAAATTATTGAATTTGAATAATCAAGGTGGATCCAATAATTTACAATTGTTGTGGTTTCTCCATTAAATGGGGAAAAGCCATTAAAAAAAGCGAGTTTACATAGGAGTTACGTATTATGATTACACTATTATTTTTTCAAGGTTTAATATAGTTTATGGTACTATAAATTTATCTTCATTTTGATTTTGATTCTTCAAGTTTCAAACTATACGTTTTGGTCCCTCAAGAACAAAATGGTTTAAATTTTTATTAAACTATAGGGATCATGTTTGCAATAGTAAAAAGCTTGATAAACAAAAACCTATTATTTAAAACTTGAAATACTAAAACTAAAATGAGAGTAAATTTAAGGGACCAAAAATTGTATTAACTATTTTTTAATCATATACTACACCTTTTTTTTTCCGCATACTGTTGGCTGGATTTTTAATATCTCTTCAAATGTATAATTACATATGGTGAAATCAAGATTGGCGAAAAAAAAAATGGTGAAATTAAGAGGTGTTTGGTTGGGTTGGATGATTTATAATATGAAACCAAACATGCCAACTTAAAATAGCAAGGGTATGTGTCTTCGCTGGCTTGGGGCGTCAGATGGTTGCTTGATCTTCCTAGGGACGCAATCACTCATACTCCCGTCGAGGGGTCAACTATCCCTTTTTACCGCAATACAAAAGCAAGCATGAGCTTGATTCTTCAAGAAAGAAAAATGAAAACAAAAACCTGGAAATTATGAAATTCTAATTCAGGTAATTAACAATTCAAAACTCAGAGGAGGAAGTGAGGCCTGATCTGATATTTTGAAAATAAAGTTAAATAACTAAAATACTCTTGTTTCAAACTTGTCACTATTAATAAATTTCTTGTCATTTTTTATTCAATATTTGTTATTGTTAATTCACAATTTGTTAGTAAATAACTTGTCATTGTAAGTAAATTTCTTATCATTTATTGTTGAACACTTGTTATTACCAGTTCACTAAACTTTTTTGAAAAAGGACATTTTAATTATTTAACTATATCTGCAAGATACCAAATCAAGTATAACTTCCTCTCCTAATATTTGAAGTGCTAGGTACTTGAATTGGAATTTCAAAATTTCTAGATTCTTTTTTTGTCATTTTCTAAAGAAAAACACTAAGAGAAAGTAAATCATATTTAAAAGACTTCCCCCAATCCTAATTCAAGTTAAGTTAATATTACCTCCGATCCTAATTATAAGAGTTAATTGAATAATTTGACGAAATTAAGAAAAGAAGTTAGTTATTTATAATAAATATATGTTATCTTTCCGAAAATATCTTTGCTAATTAAGTGCATTAATTATAACTATCATTGTTAAAAGGATTATTTTGAAAAAAAATGCATAAATATGAGAGATAAAGGATTGGATCTTATATTTAGAATCAAAATAAATGTTAAATAAGGGTTTATATTAAGGACCGGAGGTAGTATAATTTCTAGTCCCTCAAATTTTAAACTCTAGGTTTTGGTCTCTCAAGTTTCTTTTCATTTAAATCATTAGTTCATATAATTTAATAAAAATCAAAACTTATTGTTTGAAATTTAAAATACTAAAATCAAAATAAGAATAAATTTAAGAAATTAAAAATTAAATTAACCCTTCAAGATACAAATTTTGGGATAAGGGCAAGCAATTGTTTTTATAAGTTAATAAAAAAATTAGGGGTAAAATTATACCATTAAAAAATAAGATCAAAGTAAAATTGTATTTTTACCCAATAAATAAATTTTTTTTTGAAAAATAATTTTTGTTACATATTTATTATCTATATTTAATTAATGTTCGTATTTCCAAGCTAACAACTACAAGACGTTTTTTCACCTACTCGAGTCTTTAATTTTGACCTGGTTTATTAAGATATTCATGTCTGACAAAATTTGTCTTTGCTTGATTCTTGCTTTCGTCGGAGATTTCGACGTGGAAAACAGAATTAGTTAAAATTTTTCTATAAGGGTAATTGCGATTTGCGATTTGCGATGCCAGATCCGTGAAAACTAGAAGGGCATTTTAGTCATAATGCTGCTGTAATACTCTCACTTCCACTCACACTACTCAGGCCAACATTGCATAAATCCAGAGGTTCGTTTTCAATTTCATTGATTTTTCTCTGACTCGCATCTTCTTTCTTCTTCCTCTCGCGTCCGATTTCCCAGGGTACGAGCGCTTTAAGTTTTTATTTTTTTTTCCTTCCATTTTTGTTCGCTTAATTTTCTGAATTTGCTATAAAAAGGCGATTTTTTCCTTATAGGGAGACAGAAAATGGCGAGGAGACCCGACGAAGAATACGATTATTTGTTCAAGGTGGTCTTAATCGGTGATTCGGGTGTTGGGAAGTCCAATCTCCTTTCGCGATTCACCCGCAATGAATTTTGCTTGGAGTCCAAGTCCACCATTGGTGTTGAATTCGCCACTCGTACCCTAGAGGTCTTTCTCTCTGTTCTCTCCTTCTCTATCTCATTCAGGGTGATAGTTATGGCAGTACTAACGGCGACTCTATTTTCCATCTGATCTGTGCTTAAGAATTCAGCATGGAAATGAATGGTTTAAACAGACTGTCTGTGTGTGTTTGATCTCATGCCTGTCAAGTTTTGGCTCTATTCGGAATCGTATCGGATCTAAGTCTGATTTTTTTTTTTTTTAAATAAACTGGGTTTGTCCCAGATCTGTTTTCTTACTTTAACTGTTCGCTTCTTGGATTGTCAATACGAGTGTAACATTTGATTTGGGTCCTGGGAACTGGGTTATGTTCTGAATTTAAAGTGAATGCTTTTCAAATTTTGCTTTGCTACCCGGAGTGATGCTTTTGAATATCATATTTTTCACTGATATCTTGATCGGTCCTTTTCTAATTTTCACTCTTATTGCATCATCTAATACTTGAACCATGAAGTGCTAATTGTTTGTCACTGATAATCGATAAATTCATTTTGCTTCTATAGAAGTTGCAGTGAGATTGGGGCCACCACGTGATACTCATTTCTTATTCTTTGAAATCTTAGTTTATTCCAACAGCCCGTAGGTTAAGGGGCATTGAGGTTTGATGCCCGAGTTTTCATTTTCCTGATGCTTCTCAATATCCACCCCCCCCCCCCCAACCCAAAAAAGAAAGAAAGAAAGAAAGAAAGAAAGAAAAATCTCCGGTCTAAATTTAATCCTTACTTAATTGCCATAGTGTCTTGGTATGGTTTTAACGGATCATACTTGGTCAGTGAAAGAGTAATTCCTATCAAGCTATAGCACATCAATGGCCTGCAGTCAGTTGTGTTTATATTTTATTCCCCAATTTTCTGGAACTATGATTATGATTGTGAGAAATGTATTTACATTTTTGTTTGATGATTGCATTCAACTTGTCTTGGTAGGTGTATTATTGTAGAATAATGAATGAGAATGCATTAATATTTAATACACTCATTATTCATTGAAACAAGATAGCTGAGTAATCTGTTAGAGATGATGCCTTGATGCCAATAGAGGCATCCAGAGAGGAACTGTGGGTAGTCACCAAGTTTTGTGTCTCTTGATTGTAAAAGTCTGCACTTTTGGTTTTCTATTTTTTAATGCCCTTTTAGTCTGATTGCTGGCTACAAAATTGTCTTGAGTGATTTATAGTGAAAGTTTTGTAGAATCAGTTTGTGATATCTTCGTAATTTCTAAAATTTTCCGTGCACTGAAAAGTGCTGACATGGATGTCCAGGTTGAGGGAAGAACCATCAAAGCTCAAATATGGGATACTGCGGGACAGGAACGATACAGAGCAATAACCAGTGCCTACTATCGTGGTGCTCTTGGAGCTCTTCTGGTCTAT